ATGGGGGAGGGGGGAGTCGTTAACTAACCTGTTAACTAGCGGGGTCATGGGGGAGGGGGCAGTCGTTAACTCACCTGTTAACTAGCGGGGCAGTCGTTAACTCACCTGTTAATTAGCGGGGTCATGGGGGAGGGGGGCAGTCGTTAACTCACCTGTTAACTAGCGGGGTCACTTGGAAAGGATAGGCATATGGCTACATGGGGAAGAAGAAATTGGGCAAATAGACAGTTTACATATCTATGGTCGCTAAAGTAAAGAAGTACATTTGCCGCATCTCTGCTTTTGGCATGTTATATGTCTATTTGGCCAGTTTCTACTCTTCTCGGAAGCCTAGTATTGGTGGTAGAGGCTATATATACTCTCCAAGCAGAGGTTGGTTGGGAAGATTGTGACCTTTCTATCATATGTCCCGCTTTCTGTCAGAAAACTTTAACAGAGTAGCGACAGAAAAACGGGGCATATGATAAAAAGGTACCGGTTATAGTCTTCCCCACCAACCTCTGTTGGAGAGTAGCTAGTAGCTATACATCCTTCCCATGTCTGACTAACTTCCAAGCAGATCCTATGGCTTAAGACAGTATCAAAGTGGCCAGGCAGTATCCATTGGCCAGAGAGTGTCCATACGCCACCCAAGGCGACTGGATACTGCCTGGCCAATTTGATACTGTCTTTTGCCACCCTAGGATAGATCTGTTTGGAGAGTAGCTATACATCCTTCCCGTGTCTAGCGCCAGGTCTAATCCTCGACACGCTCCGTCAGGCCGTCCTGTGACCACACCGTGAGAAAAGTAAACGGCGCCACACGACCGGACAGCGGCGTGCCACGCGCGCCCAAGGCGTCAATAGTCTCCACCAGACTCCTTTGCAGGCTGAACAAATAGAAGAAATCGGCCTAAGAATGTATGCATGAAGACCTTTATTGTACAATTTTGCCCCACTGGGCTAAGCACTGGTCACAAGATTACAACCATATACATATACGAGTACATATACATATAACTGTTACATGTATGTATAAACGTCTAATGTATTCTAGTCTTTTCAACTTCTCCTCGCTTTTTAATGATTGTGTAAATGTATGAGGCCGTAAAAGAAATGTAGCCGGCCAGGAAGGTTGGCTGGCCATAGAGCGTCCAGTTCCGTGCAGGCAAACTGGACCCTCTATGGCCAGCCAACTCCCCTGGCCAGCTACATTCTTTTTAGGCCGATTTCTCCTATTTATTCAGCCTGCAAAGGAGTCTGGTGGAGACTAGGTAAAATCACAGCAACCACAGACCCGGATTTATATATAGTGCCTCTCATACTGATAAGCGCTAAAACAACGGTTAAAACCAGCTGTGTTCTTATCACATCTAACGCACATATTTGCCGACCATCGGGTAGTGTTAGTTTTTCCCACGGCAGAAACCAGGGCCAGAGTCCAAACGTCAACAGGCGAGGCACCGGTAGGAATGAGAATACTTCATTTGTATATATATCATCTGCATTATTTCTAAGAAATTAGAATTTTAATTTAAACCAAAAAAAAAAACTGAATGTTTATACATACATATAACGCTAAGTAACATAGCTATGCAACGTTAATGTTAACTTTTGTCAGTGAGTTTATTAACTTCAAAAATGACTGATTCCACACAAGATTTGATGAGAAATGGGCATTCTGTGTGTTTTAGACTCAAAGATCAATGTTTTCTATCAATTTCTGCTCTTTTTTCTTCAAAGAAAAACTGAGCGCACTCCTCCCCCTAAGACTTGCATTGACATGATCCCATGTCGTGTGTGTGCCGCCTGACACAGTCACAAGGCACGCGCCACTGGCACTGCTGGCTCGTGTATGTTGTTTAAAAAACACGCCGTAACTCAAAGTACATTATTGCCTACCCCCTGCATGGCTTACTTTGTAAACAACCCAGGTGCACAGGTCTCGCCTTAGGACGCCACCATAAGATCATGAACCCTGAATATCAGGTGTGTTCCTTTGCCGGAGAAATCAAATGACTGTTACCAAACGTCACTGCCAATATGTGGCTGTATACGTAGCTGTAACTAGCAAAACTTATAGGTGTTATTTTTGTGGCAAATGATGGGCAAAAATGTTCGTCTTTTGTTGAAATATGTCCATATTGTTTGCAAGTGCAATAGCTATTTCCTACACAAAAAACGCACGTATTCGTACCTATGGCATGGGTATCAACTACTTTGACTTTCTTATTCTAGATTATGGATTTTAACGTTCGCTTTACGAACAGTTGTAAAGAATGAATTACATGCTTTTATTTTACAGCTCCTTTAATTTGTAACTCGACGCGAATACAAAGTTTTCTGTCAAGCGGTGACTTCATGCTACGCGGACACGACCTGACACGGCAAAGCTAAAATTAGCTCAAGGACAACTTCTACTTCAGAAAACAGAGTAAATGTTGATGATAAAGTTTTTCTATCAAGCAGTGTGACTTCATGTTACTCGAGTACGACCTGACAACAAAGCTAAAATTAGCTCAAGGACTACTGCTACTTCAGAAGACAGAGTAACATGCTGATGTCAGGCACAAGCTATGCGCCTCCGTACACGCTCCAGCAATCACACGACGATCCCACGACAATCTCACGACGATCCCACGACAATCGCACGGCGATCCCACAACAATCGGACGACGATCCCAAGACAATCGTACGACGAACGTGACCAGGTCCTGAGTAAATGCTGATGTCAGGCACGAGCTATGCGCCTCCGTCCCCGCCCCAGGCGCGCGCCGCCGTACACACGGACTTTGAAACCTCCCGATCGTGGGAAAAACCAACAAAACGTGCGACCAGTCCCTCTCCCTATCGTTAAACCACTTCAACTCATCAATAACTGCCACGGTTTATCAGGTTATGAATACATGGTTATCAGCAGCTGATTTATACTATGGCGCACCTGTGGGTTGTGTTGTTGAAACTTTGACATTCCTGAACTCACCTTCAAAAGTAGCGACATATTGGAAACTGATTTGTCATCATAAGTATTATTTAAGTAAGCCACATGCACACATATTAGTTCTTGCCTGGTCTTCATATATGCATAACATAGATATTTTAATAGCTTTATAATCTAACAGAACTTTCTAAGGCAAAATTGTAACCAAACGACAAAGCAGTACCCAATAAGCAATTGGATATTAGATACCGCCTTGCTGGTTACGAATTTGCCACAAAAGAATATATGTTTGGTGATTCTAAGTTATTAAGAACTTTTCTATGTTTTGTTGTCTTTTGTATCGTAGTTTTCGTTCCCAAAAGCTGCCCGGCCGGGCCCCGTGTGGGAATTGTGACCTCAGTACTAGTAGTTAAATTTATCTGTTGCTTTTCTCCAACGCGTAGCACTGCGAGTGATTATACCACGCTTCTAGGCCCGATTAGATGATAAACTAGGGTCTTCACACCTTTCTTTGTCGCAGGCGAAGACAACAAGCTGTTGTGGACAGGTTTGGGTGAAAAATGAGCGCAATTATCCGCCGCACCGGCCTGTTTCATCGCGGGGGTGCCATAAAAACCACCAGTTGGCCCGCCCTCAAAACGGGAGGTGAAAATGGACTTTTAATGACCCAAACTTAAATTTCTTCACACCTGTCTGAAAAAACCACAAGAAACGTTTTCTGTGGCTTCAAAAACATCACTGAAGAAACCTGCTTTGATAAGAGAAAGTATGGCGCAAACTTTCTTATAAAAAATCGCCGTGTGTACAAAGACAAGAGCTTCTTTTAGGGATGAAAGAAGTCTGTACAACATGGGAGAAGTAATGTCTGTAATTAGGCCGTTTTGCGCACATATGTCAAAGTGTCTGCGGAGATTAGTTCTTTTGTTGGACAGTTTATTCAAACTCCTCCACAGGGTGTCATAAACGACTTATTTAACCTTTTGACCGAACATAAAATGGGATGTAAAGGAAAGGAAGAGCAGTTATGTAAAGTGTTACATTTCTTGGTAACTTTTACACTCTTTTTTACATGTATATCCATTCGAAATGCAAATTAATTTGAGACTTTTTTAAAGTGACCTATAGTAGTGATGTTTTACCAGCGGAGTTGTCAACTATCACAGCTATGATTTTTCCGTATAAACGGAAATACGTGGAGATAACTAGATACTATCCATGATAATTCTTTTAATATTGAGAGTCAGATACAGACAGAGTAATGCACCGATACGTGCTATATTATATTCATCGTCTTTGATACTTAAATATCCACATGGACTGGTATAACATTAAGTAAAGATCTTTCACTATTTCTATTGAATGCTCCTTGATTAAAGCATGATTAAAGTTAAACCGATGCCACGATCAATTCAAATATAAGGTAATAGTTTTTAAAGATTGTATAATCTGTTTATAATACTACAATGACTGAAGTATCTAACTAGAGTTCCACGATCTCATACCTTCGCCAAATGATGTTAATCTTTAAGACTGACAAAATAAAGATTATTCCTCCTGATTATATCCTAATCTGTTCCGCCCTAATGTCGACACGGGTGAGGCAGCAGTATAACAGCGCCACCTAGCAATTTGTGTTGAAATGCAGCTACAGTAACATGCAATGTATAAAACACTTCAATGTTACCCTTAACGGTTTTATAGTAACAATAGCAAAATTTCTTCACGGTCTGAGAAAAATTTCAAAACTTTGTGTTCACGGAACTATAAGTTCACTGTAGCAGTCAGAGGGGGGAGGGTGAAAGACGAAATATTTGTTAACTGTAATGATAAGTTCACGGTAAAGAAGTTGTGCATAAGTTAGGTTGTATATATTAAGTTAATTCATGATCGGTTTGTTTAACCTGTATATAATTTGTGATGATTGTGTTCATTCTCTTTCATTTTTTGGTATGTTTGTATGCTTATATGTTTTGAACCCTGGAAGACTAGTCATTGACTAAGAAGGGTATCGAAATAAGCGAATAAACGAACGAAGAAGTGACAGTGAAAACAGTGAACACAAAAGTACAGTGAAAAGTATCTACAGCTCCTCGGCGCAGGATTCCCCCGCCCAGCCGGAGTAACAGCGGCACGTGACGCCCTCCCTCCCCGGCTGCAGCTCCATCTGCTGAAAATACTCCAACATCTCTTCACTGGCCCCGCCCGGCTCCTGTGTGGAAGGCAGAAAGCTTACTCAGGGGTGCCAAAGAATTTATCAGAATTTTACGGAATTCATAGGATCCTTACTAGGAAACATACGAAGTTTACGGAATACATAGGATCCTTACTAGGAAACATACGAAGTTTACGGAATGCATACGATCAATTACTAGAAACATACGAAGTTTACGGAATACATACGATCCATTACGCGGAATACATACGATCCTTACTAATTTGGAGCCTAATTTGGTGACTTGCACCACGATCACGTGACATCGGCAGCAAATTCAAGATGGCGGACTATTATTATAGCGATGTTCTCCCTACAATATCTTGGTTTCAAAGACTTTTAAGGGCTTATCCTTAATCTCCAAGCAGACCTTTTGGTGGGGGTAAGACAGTATCAAATTGGCCAGTCTGTAACCATTTCCCCACTGGGTGTACCCGTTGGGTGGGGAAATGGTTACAGACTGGCCAATTTGATACTGTCTTACCCCCACCAAAAGATCCGCTTGGAGACTAGCGAGATGGTACCTCGTCGTCTTCTGCTTGGAAGAACGGAGCGTCCTCTTCCTCGTCCAGGGCAGCAAGTTCTTCCGGGGTCAGCTGGGTTATATCCGGGAAGTCGTCCACCTGTAGCGCCTGCGCCTGCTCCAGTCCGCCCGCACCCTGCATCATCTCATGGCTGATGGCCGTCTCGTAGTTAGTCACACATCTAAACAGGGCAAAGGAATGGGACTGAATCGTTGGACTGTTTTTTTTTTGTTTTTTGTTTTGCTCTAAGTTCTAACTGTGGGTGTTTGTAGCCTCTACCAGGCTTCGGTAGATGCTACAAAGAGTAGAAACTGGCCAAAAGATAACATGCCAGGGGAGTTGGTCTGCTGGAGAGTACATTTTGCCGCACCCGAAGCCTGCTACAGTCAGTCACTAGGCTAGTTGGTTGGTTGGTAGGTAGGTATGTTGTGTGTGTGTGTGTGTGTGTAGGGGGCTGAATGAAAAACTGCAAGATCTTTCTGTAGTTCGTTTACCCTCGCTTCCTTCTCATCATTGCAAATTACATATCTCTACCCATCAATCTACAACTTGAACTACGGACATGATATAAGCATTGATCGTACCTAGCATGGCACCTTTCACTCACCTCCCGTGTCCGCTACACTCCCTCTCCCCGCATTCAGCTGCTGTAGCGGTGATCTTCTTGGCGTACGGACCGAACACAGTCCGGACATACTCCTCCAGCTGAAGGCACTTTTCCTTCGAGGGGGAGGGGCAAAATATTCTATAAAATTCACCACACAATTTGCCACAAAATTCACCATACAATTCACACAAAAAATTCACCCCGAAGTTCATCACAAGATTCACCTAAAATTACCATAAATCAATCATGATTGGAAAAAAGTTGATACTAGTATGCATCAGTCAAAGAGTCATCATAGCTTTATTTATCGTGACACAAAGACGTAATATACATTTTGGATGTGTAAGCACTAAGTCTGAAACAGACGTTGAAAGCACACTTATCTCAATACCTTACTGTTGACGTCAAGTGACGCCCCCCAGATGACGACTCCTGCCGACCCCAGACCTGCGATCTCACCGATAGAGTGTACCAGGTCAGCCTGTGGGGTAACAGTGGAATTATCACGATATTAGTACATTGTACACTAACTAGTAAGAGTACTCGATCCCAGACCTGCGATCTCACCGATAGAATGTACCAGGTCAGCCTGTGGGGTAACAGTGGAATTATCACGATATTAGTACATTGTACACTAACTAGAAAGAGTACTCGATCCCAGACCTGCGATCTCACCGATAGAGTGTACCAGGTCAGCCTGTGGGGTAACAGTGGAATTATCACGATATTAGTACATTGTACATCAACTAGTAAGAGTACTCGATCCCAGACCTGCGATCTCACCGATAGAATGTACCAGGTCAGCCTGTGGGGTAACAGTGGAATTATCACGATATTAGTACATTGTACATCAACTAGTAAGAGTACTCGATCCCAGACCTGTGATCACACCGATAGAGTGCGCCATGCAGGTCAGTCTGTGGTGTAACAGAGTCAAATATTGTGTTGTCAAGATACTCAAGTTCCTTAGTTATATATGCTTCCGCCATACTACACTGAAGGGAGACCTGAAGCGCAGAGGGCTAGGCCCTCCCACAACAGAAAAGAAACTCAAGGAGCTTATGTTAGACAGCACGCGAGGCAGCGGATCCGGACACGGTGGAAAGAGATGAAGAAAGACTGAATGCGGCTACAGGACATTTTCATACGACTGTAGATGCAGAACGCAGTGGATGATGATGATACTAGCTGTATAACTATAAGTGTGTCCTGTGGTGTGGCGTACTGATATACGTATCTTGTAGTGTTACTGCTATGACAAGGAAAACCAGTCTTTACGTTTGCTATAAACATGACAGGATGGACGGTTGCAGTTATTGTTTTACAAAGTGCCCCAGAGCTTGTAATAAGCAAATGTATTCTCACCTGAGTGACATATTCTATTTCTTCTCGATACCTACAGGAAAGAACAATACTACATGTGACAAAGCATGTTGATATAATTCACTACTGACTACGAAACACATTCATATACAAGGTATGACATACTAGTAGTTATAGCACAAGGTGGCTAGCCCCTCCAACTTCATAATATAACCCAACCCAACACCACATGGTAATGGTATCTGCTACAGCACTAGTTACCATGGTGACAGCCGTCTGGTCCAGGTCACGGACCTTATGTGATTGCCCTACCTGAGCCACATGTAGGGGTAGATCGGGATGTCGCCGCCCTGTCTGGACTCCATGACGCGGAAGGCCTCGGTCACCTTGAATGAATGTGTGAACTGGTTTATTCATTATTTACAACACACATGCCATTGCAGCCTTACATGGCTGAATTGGGGCGTGATCCACATTAAAATTTATCAAGAATGGTTCAGCAACTCGACAATAAAAGGTAAAACACTATTCTTGAACCTAGAAGTTCTGCAGCTAAACTGCGCGAAGTTGTCCTTCGAACTCAGATCTCTGCCATGTCGGCTTCCACGTTTAGGAGGCAGCCAACTAGAGAAGTTGGGAGATTTAGCTATCAACATTGCAAAGTTCACACAGAGTTTACGACGTCTCAGATAAAGAGGTGTGAGTGATATATATAGTTTTATTTATAGTTTTCAAAGGTGTAAGTGATAGTTGCTCTATTGCTCTGTCATAGCTAACATAGTTTCTGCCTCCCATACTCTACTAACTGCCGTATCTTTAAATTTGATATTGTGTTCAACTATATTCATCACACTGGAAGATTTGACCAATCTCATTAACGCTATAGGTATTGGTTCGCCAGCCACTTTCATTTTTATGTTTTTGTTATATTTCATGTCATCTTTATGTTTACATTTGTATTATGTTCTATGAGCAGCGGATTCACATAAGCACAACAAGTGTTTCCTATCTAATGCTCAAAAATCCATGTGAATAAATACAAAAATAAAAATAAAAAAATTTTCTGCCTTGCCTTGCCGCGGACGAACTGCTCGGTGTTAACCATGTTCTTGAACAGGTAGGTGACGTACACGGACGGGTACAGACCTGTACTCGCCTCCCACAGCCAGGATAGTTTGTCGTTCTGGTCCTGCACTTTCTGGAACACAGGGGAAGTTTTAGATTCACATTTTCTTTCTCAATTGGTCTCTAAACTCTACCATGCTTCAGAGACGGTTAGCCTGGATGCCAGACCCATAGCCCTCCAACAACACCCAACTTGTACGCCGTTCAGAGTAGCGGGATGTTAGAACTTCAAGGGGGTGGGATCTGTCAGTGTGTGTGTGTGTGAAGGGGGGTAGGGGGGTAGTAAGGGGGTGGATTATGGCTAGCCCCCAAGGTAGCATTAGTTAAGAGACGAAAATGGGGCTTTTGTCTAAAACAAGTAAAGTAAAAGTATTCGACAGGAAGAGAGGAGGAAATGGTGCAAGAAGGTCTTATGGGAAGGTCAAACTCGCGATTACAGGAATTGGGACTTAGCCAAATTTTCGGTTAACTCCATCAACCTTGTTCACGGAATGGTCCCAGAGACGGGGGGCGACACAAGTTATCTGGCACGTATGACCCGCTACTACGGTCACGTGTCTCTGACGTCACGTTCCAAGAATAGACGGGTCCATTCCGTGAACAAGGTTGATGGAGTCAACCGAAAATTTGGGTAAGTCACAATTCTGTCATCTAAGTGTTGGAAGTTAAAGCTTAGTCTTTATTTCATGAAGTAAAACCTACCTGTGGACAGCCGTAAGTTTTCCCCTTCCTGCTCCTGATGCTCCCAGGAGTGTTGTAACAGTCAGGGAACAGGTAGAACCCCCAGAATCCTCCGGGGCGAAGGCTCTTCACCAAGGTCAGGGTGTCCTCCATCATGGCCCTGGCCGCGGTCTCGAACTCTTCCCTGGCCTTGACCTTCACCTCTTTCTCAGAAAGATCGGGATGTCTTTCCTTAACAAGCTCTTGAGACTGCTTTCTGTAGATGGTCTGTGTCATTTGAAAAAGAAATAATGTAAAATCAATCTGTGTTGGTACAAGTCATTAGGAAATAAAAAGAAACTTTAACTGCCAACAACTGTCCAAATTCATTATAGTGTTAACAGCCTTTCTACTATTATTCAGCCCGCAAAAGAGGCTGGTGGAGACTACTCCATGAAACCGTAAAATATCCAATTTCTTGTTTGAAAAAGAAATACTTTATCAGTGCTGTGCCAAATGAAGTCACTTTATAGATTCTTTAAATTTTCATTGTCTGTTAGCCGACCCATGAGACAGGGAGGCCGGCAGCAGAATAATCAAAGCCTGGATATGAATGTATGTACCTTTCTGGCCCAGTTCCGTTCATACAGCGGTCTCCACGACTCCCAGTCTATAATGCCCAACCCTTGGTAGTCGGCATCAGGCACAAGTCGGGCGATGTCGTCAGCAACCTTTTCCTTATGACAAGCCAAATCTACGGTCTGTGTCAAAAAGAAAAGGAAAATATTTTCATTTCGATTCATGACCATAAGTACATTCTGTATCTGTATAGCCGGTATAACCGCCCTTCGGCGTAACACACCAGCTTCACAGGCACGCGGCGCGGCAGCAGCTAGCTATGTCACACCGAACGACTTGTTACACTTTGCTCATTTAATTGCAAGAGTTGTTTAAAGCTTTCTAGTGATGATGCCTCTACTGTGCTTGGTGGCAACGAAAAGCTTAACGACCAAACGGTGTTCAGACAGACTCAAATATCTACTTTTGTGCTTGTCATATATTTACACACACGTACAGCCTTGAATACGACTGCATTGTAAAATGTTTGGGCCTAATTCACAAAAATCCACAATCCACACACCAGAACTTATTATATATTATTATTAAGATACTAACGTCCGAGACACACTTGCTTAATTGAATTACAAACGTAAATGTAAAGATCATACGTCTTTTACCTGTTTCAAAAAAATTAACTATCAAGTTTGTTCCTTAATTAATACTCCCTGTATATCTACATTTATATCATACCCGGGCCGCGATAACACCAAACATAGGGACACCAAACTTGGGCTCATTTTGCATTAAAAGGCGCGTTTTCTTGGGTGGGTATGACATAAATAAAATACAACACAGTGTATTCCGCATTGCGCTCGGTCCCGGCCCTCCCGCGGGTCGGGCCGATACCTTGGGTGACACGGAATACCCCGTGTTGTATTTTACTGGGTGTTCCCCTTTGCGTTTGTTTACATACCATGCTTTAACGGATCAGTTTGACCTTTGTGTCAAGGTCATTAGGTAGTATACTCACCTGTGGAAGGCCGCCATGGATCGCCTTGTCTAGATGATAGTCATGATAAGATGGGCACATTCCCAGTTTCAACTCATAGATCAGAGACACGTACGGCCCAAGGAAGGCCTGTCCTGGATTCACTACTATGTCGTACTGTTCCAGTTTTAGGTCGACTCTAGAAGAACCATTGAAAGAGGCATGTGAGACATTTCAACGCTTGGTTGAACCAAGGCTTAAGAATGTCTGTGTACACTTTATTCCCTTCAATCAAACGTCTGTTCAACACTTTGATATAACACTATCATTCCAATGGGTCGCAGGCATTTGAAGTTGGACACTATATAAAAGAAAAAAACGTCAAAAATAGCGTCAAAACTAATTCGTAAACTACACTGTAAACACTCACCCGAATTTTTTCTTGCATGTCTTGCTTGGCACGTTCCATACCACATTGAAGGGTCTGTCCGGGAGAGACGCCCCCGCGAGGCATAACGTTGATAGGTGCACCGCCAATAGTGCAAGGGTTACGGGATTGGAAGCCGACGTATATGCTAACATGTTTGTCAAAGGTATAGACTTGGTTGAAACACACCCGAATGACATAGATAGTAGACAATAGTACTACTTGCACTACTGGTCCGCCCACTTTTTGATCCGATTGAGAGAGACATATGGACACCTGCAGTTTACGTATGTTTTGGTAGGTGTCGCTTTATTACTATGATTTTAATTCATCGGCCTCATTTCGTTTTCTTTCTTGTGCTTGCAGCGATGATTTTACTAACACCTCGTATAGGACAAATGGCTAACCTCTGGCCTGAACTTCAGTTGAACTGACGGCTAACCTTTGACCTGACCTTGGGTTGGACTATTATTAAACCAATGGCTAACCTTTGACCTGGCTTACGGTTGAACTAACTGATGGCTAACCTTTGACCTGCTCCTGTGTTGGACTGACTAATGGCTAACCTCTAACTTGACCTTGAGTTGAACTGACCGACCGATTGGTCAATGGTTAACGTTTATTTACAATTGTGAGACTTTGATGAAGTGTTGTTGGGCGTTTGGTATGTAGCCAACATGAGAAGATCTGGAATTAAATGTGGTTCCTACACTGCTGTCTAGATGTCCCTCAAGCAATGAGACCTGGAGTTGTCCAAATTCAAGTCATCGTTCAGACCATTTTATTCGCCACTGATGTCAATAATACAACATCAAGAACCATCAGTTCTTCGTTCTCAATATTTTCTGCACACAGCATACTTTTCTGGCAAAGACAATGTCTCATTATTAACTTTTAAATGAACATCTTTCTTGAAGTTTCCATCTTCAGAAAAGCAAGGCATACTATAATATCTTAATCCTTACAGGAACATTCTTTTCGGTCCCTTTTCTAGATATGAATCAATAAGAACTACATGATATCATTAAAAGATACATTAAAAATCTACTTTTTTCTGCAAGCTTGCTTTACCTGTATAAAAATTGGTAAAGACAACACTAAGTCATCCATAAAATGGACTTCGTGTGGCATAATCACAAGAAGAGTCTTTGTTTATGTTGCATAACTCTACTAGCTCCACTCAAGAACCACTGAAAAGGAAATAAATACAAGCATTGCAATGACAGGTCTAAATGGGAGTTGAACCCATGTCTTTCTACACTTCTAGACTGGGAATATACAATCCTTAAATGTACAAAGCTAAAAAAAAGTATATACAGTCCAAAACATCAAATCAGAATCGTTGTCCATAATCATAGTCCTATTCCATTCCAGGTTTGGTCAACCATCTTTGCTGTAGGCCACAGGTAACGGAATTTTCCTTTCATTGAATGTCTGAAGCCAGAGTTTTGTCTGTTAATGTTTAAACATTATGATACCCCAGTGTTAACATAGCCACACGTCTGGTTTTCTAATCCCCCACAAGTAGGCTCTTTGGATTTGAAGTGTTCATATGATGAGATTTAGTTTGATTTTTAGGCTTAACATGTGTATGTCCTATCCCACAGAAAAAGGGCTATCTTATGTGGCAGAGAGAAATTTTGAAAGGAGGAAGTAAGAAAAGGAGATGATGAAAGAGAAACTGGGAAAAACACTAACTCTTTAACAGTTTGTTGACTCAATTGACAATTGGGCACTCACGGGTCTGGGGCTAGACTTGCCAGTATATGGCAAATTATGGGGCAAAGTTCGTTCAATCGGGGTCTTAGGCTGTAGAATAGTTTGTACCACTTTGCTAGTAGATACGAGGTTCCTAGTTACCTTCGCCAAGAAGGTTATGTTTTCAGTAGCGTTTGTCTGTGGTATGTATGTATGTGTGTGTGTGTGTGTGTGTGTGTGTGTGTGTGTGGTTTAGAAAGATAACTCGAGAAGCAGTAAATGGATTGGAATGAAACTTGGTAGGTGGGTAGGTCTTCATGAGACCTAGAAATGATTAGATTTTGGGCCCCCTGGCAGCTTTCCTAGGTACTGCAGCAGAACTTCCGGTTTTAATATCTCGTTGGGGAGTTTGTTGAGTCCAGTATTGAGTATATGTCAGTGCTGTAGCTAAGGGCCAGCAATGCGTGATGGGCCGTTTAGATCAAGGTAAAAGTTTTGTATCCTTTGGGGAATTTTTGTAACATTTTTTTCCATGATCAGGTGTGTCGTGGTTCTGCTGACACGTTAGAGTTGACGTACGTGTGAATCCGTGGAAGTGGATCCGGAATTCTCCCTGTCTGAGGCATGTCCGTGCCTTGTGGATGTGCTGACACGTTAGAGTTGACGTACGTGTGAATCCGTGGAAGTGTATCCGGAATTCTCTCTGTCTGAGGCATGTCCGAGTCTTGTGGACGCGCTTGACGTACGTGTGAATCCGTGGAAGTGGATCCGGAATTCTCTCTGTCTCAGGCATGTCCGAGTCTTGTGGACGCGCTGACACGTTAGAGTTGACGTACGTGTGAATCCGTGGAAGTGGATCCGGAATTCTCTCTGCCTGAGGCATGTCGAACCTTGTGCATGTGCTGACGTAGGTTGTCCTTTGTAGGTTGTCGTAGGAGGCCCCGTGGTTGTCGTAGCAGGCACTGTGGTTGTCGTAGGAGGCCCCACGGTTGTCGTAGGAGGCCCTACGTAGGTTGTCGTAGGATGCCCCATGCTTGTCGTAGGATTCTACACTGTCGTCGTATGAGGTTCCACGGCTGTCATAGAACAACCTAGGGTTGTCGTAGGAGGCCTCGTGGTTTGTTGGCGCGGCGGACATTCCCAAGCGGTGTGTCTGTGCTGAGACGTTGCAGTTAATGTAGGTGTGAGTCCGGGGAAGTGGGTCCGGAATCATGTCTGCCTGACACATGTCCGAGTCTTGTGGATGTGCTGACACGCTAGAGTTGACGTATATGTTGGTCCGTGGAAGTGGATCCGGGATGTCTTCTGCTTGAGATATCTCCAAGCCAGAGTGCCGTTTTGGGCCGTTCAGATCAAGGTAAAGGTTCGGGCCTTCTGTGTTCTCTTCTTCGTCCATTCCCAAGCTTCGCGGGTCGTAGGAGGCTTTTCCACGTGTTCTTGGCAGGGTAGCCGTCCCCAAACGTTTGGGATGTACTGAGACGCTTGAGTTGACGTCTTCTGATTGAGGCATGTCTGAGCCAGAGTGGCGTGGTGGGCCGTTCAGGTCAAGGTACAGATTGGGGCCTTCGACCTGCGAGTCGTAGGAGGCCCTGCGGTTGTGGTAGGAAGCCCTGCGGTTGTCGTAGGAGGCCTTTCGGCTGCCGCAGGATGCACTGCGGTTCCTTCGCGTAGCAGACATCCCTGAACGTTTTGCCTGCGCTGACACGTTAGGGTTGACGCGCCTGTTGGTCTGGGGAGGTGGGACGTCTTTTGCTCGAGTCGTGGCCGTGCCGGCGGGTGGGTAGTAGTCAGAGTCGCTGGCGGCGATGGATTGCATGGCGGACCGCGGAGGTGGAGCTGGGGCATTCCCCGCCTGAGCTGTGGCCGAGCCCCCTGGCTGTAACGTGGCCCTGGAGTTAGCGGGCCTGCTGGGTCCTGGCCGAGGGTCTGGGGACGCCGAGGTCGCACCTCTTGGCCCCGTCACGTCTGCGTCGTACATGGGGTTTTCCAGACGCGACGTTTCCGCATACGGAGTAATGGATGCGTCGTCCTGGGTGTCATCTTGCGCCTGTTGAGGAGGTACAGGGTTCCCAGTCGTGGGGGCTGCGGCCGGTGGCTGGAGGTTTTGCAGCGGTATGCCTCCTGCGGCGTAGCCGTGTAAGTTTTGCCGCTGCTCTTGTCGATCCTCGTACCACTTCTTGCACTTCTTCACTACCCTGTCGACAACTATCGCAACCACGATTGCGATTCCCACGCTGTAAAATACTATCATCATGATATCCAGTGGACTATAATCTGATGAAGTGGTGCCGTCTTGTTTGCCGTCTTTGTCCGTGGTTTTGCCCATGCTTCCTGTAACCCTTCCGTCCTGCCGGGTAGGTTTGGGGGTGAGGACTGCTGTCATGGCGGTGCGCCGTTGTGCCTTGTCAGCTGCCGGAGTGATGCCGTCCTGCTGGGGGTTCTTGGTCTTGGCTTGGCCCATGCTTCCTGCTTCAGCCGTCGGAGTGATGCCGTCCTGCCGGGGGTTCTTGTCCGGGGTTTTGGTGACCTTCTCTGTCACCCTTGCGTTCCGCTGAGCAGGTGTTGAGGTGTGGACGGTCGCTGTTGTCACGGTGGTGGTGCGGTCGTGCCTCGGGTCTTGTTCGCTTGACTTGGTCAGCGGCAGATCTTCAAAGACGCTGCCTGTTGTTGCAGACTTCACGACGCACCGGTAACTGCCCCCCGTCCAGCACTGGTAGGCTTGCTTGTTCATCTGGAGAGTGGAGGTGGACCTGCCGATGTAGGGTAGGCTGGGGGCGTCTGTTGGGTCCACCTGCCCCCCTTCAGGAGACCGGGTGGTGGGGTACTCGTGCTCCAGGCGTGTGGTCACCGTGCCGCCGCATCGGTCTTGTGCCTGTCGGTCTCCAACGGCCCTCCCGTTTGGATCCATCCACCCGATCTCTGGTCGCTTCTCCCAGAAGACCTCACACACGAGAGTGGTTCCGCGGTCTCGGCGTGACACCTTGGCTGTGGGTGTCGGGCACGGCAATTTTAAGCTCGCCGCGACGGCTATCTTTCTCCCCGAGAGGCTAGGCGGGTAGCTGCACCGCATTCTGTCCCGATTGTCGCTGAAGCGGTACGATGACGCGCTACCCAGTGCACAGGTGCAGCGGAAGGGATTCTCATGGATGGAGATTCGCCGTCGAATTCCTTTCATGGCAGCGAGCGACTCTGCGGGGATGGTCGATATCAGGTTGTTGTTGAGGGTGATAACCTGAGTGGATAACCCCTGTAGCCACTCGGTGCCGAGGAACGATAGCTTGTTGTGATCCAGGGTGAGCGTGTTCAGCCTAGACAGACGGTCGAACGACTTCCCAGCGATGTGTGAGATGTTGTTGTAGCTGAGGTGCAGAGCCTTGAGTTTGGTCAGGCTTGAGAAGTGTGATTCTTCCACAGCACGAAGCCGGTTGTGCCTCAGCTCAAGATAGTCCAGCTGTCTCAGTGGCTGGAAAGCGTTCTCCTTGATTTCTTCGATTTCATTCCTTGACAGCACGAGCTTCTCTAGCTTGGTGATTTCGCCAAACCAGCTTCCAACGGTTTTGATGGCGTTCTTTTCCATGGACAGTGCCAGAATGTCGGGCACGGGTGCGAACGCTCCTCTTCCCACGGTACGGATGCTTCCGGGCCCGAGGACCAGCTTGACAAGCTGACCGAGGCGGGGCAGTGGTTTCAGCTCGCCGCTTCTGTCGGAGTGCCCCGCCACTTGCAGCTTCTTCAGATCGCCCGGGAGACACCCGAGCGGATTTCCACCGGCCTGCCCGGTCGTGTTGCACGTGGCACAAGGTATCGTGCCTCCTGTTGTGATGATAAAGACACCACCCAGTATAGGGCAGGACCCAGTGCGCCTTACCACACAGAGCCTAGCACAAGCCGGACCCGCCGGACACGGGTTAAACGTAAGGAGGAAGAGGAGAAAAAGGGACAGCTTCACGCCAGCCATTTCAGCCTCTTTGTGGCTTTCTACAACACTCTATAAAGATCTAGCCAAATCTGAGACCAATAACATCATCATCATAAACCAATAACGCTATAGCATAAACTAAGCAGTCTTTGAATGATAAATGATGTTCTACAGAGTTCTTGCCACAAAGAGTTGGCCACTCTGCATTCACCAGGGTTCAGGTTGACCTCTTGTCTTTGTCGCCAGGAGTCACCTGAAAGATTGAAAGATTGAGCATCTATAAGTAGCTCTAGTGTCAAAATACTTGAATTATGTTGACATGGGTCAAGTTGACCTATCAACATATACATGTACTATATTACCTTTTTGAAAAATATAGTATAATGTTATTTTCGATACATAGAACTTGTAGGTAATACTGTAGACGTGAGAGTAGATGCTAGCGAGATATGTAGTACTGAAGAGTTTGCCATGCATTGTACCCGTTAGAATTGTTGTGCAATAAAGATTGACTTGACTTGACTCAAATTGAAACAGGATTGATTCAATTGTTTTAGTTCACTTTTCACATTTAAAAGAGTGGAATGCGGGATCATATAGTATTCCTACTTTGACTTTGACTGCAAATGTCCATCTCATAAACGGTCGCCGCCTTTCAGAACAGTCGCCGCCTTTCGACGCCATACATATACATATACATATACATATACATATACATATACACATGCATATATATATATATATATATATATATATATATATTATACCATACATACACCATTCATACATATCATAGCAACAGTAAACACAACGTAAATATAATTACATTTATAGTGCTCCTACCAAAACTGGTTGGTTTGTCCTGAAATATATTGAGGAAGAGAAGTCCACCATTCCAGCCGGGACCCTGGGTGAACAAGCATAAGGCGGGTTTTATTCATGAGACACCAACTTCGTTATCATGCATTTTCACAAAATTGCAATTTGCCGCTAAAATCCTTAGAAAGAAACTGTAAATCAGGAACGAGTAAGAACCTTGGAAAATAAGTTAGTTACATTTTCCCATATGAAATTGTACAATATAGCCACTGGGAATAGGAAATAAAGTAGAAAAGCAGAATGTGTAATACGAATTGTCCCCTGTATTTACTGTCGGGCTGTCAAGGTCGCAGAACAGAGTATTAATGGACGGTCCCCTGGGTCTATAACGCAGTTATACGAAGAAGTACGGATAGAATTCTTGAAGCCTGACTAAAACGTCTTATGTGGGAGCTAGTCAGGAGTAAACTGTGCTGTGTGGTATAGAAATATATCCACTTTCAGACTGTTATGATTTGGATTCTTGGTTTTTTCTGTTCGGGCTTATAAATGCGCCGCATTACGCAACTGTGTTCCAGTGTTACTCTCCAAGCAGAGGTTGATGGTGGAAGATCGTTTGCTTTTTATATATGGCCCTTTTTTGTCGCTACCACCACCAACTTGGGTGGGGAAATGGTTACAGACTGGCTAATTTGATACTGTCTTACCCCCACCAAAAGATCTGCTTGGAGATTATTCCAGTGTGAGCCGGCTGCAGTTCAGTTAACCTCCAGAGGGCGCCATTTAAGAGAGGGCCTTAAGCGTTACAAAAAAATACATTTTTTCAGTCATTTTATAAAGTATTCATAAACATATTTGTTTCTCGTATTCTCAGTAGTGTGGCCTACCATAATTATTACCGCGTCGAAGTGAGTCGCCTTGGGGCCCTTAACTACTAGTATAGAAATCGCCGTAAACTGTGTTCTGCTACCTTAATAGGGCTGGTGGAGGATAGGACGAACTGCGCATGTGCAGAAACTAACCAATCGGAGCCTTTGTGTACATCTAAAACTGCCAGACCGGAAATACAGTGATTTTTAAGTGTATTTCGATAATATACAATATGGGGGGTTTATCTGAAACACTTCACAGCCCGAAGGCTGAATTACTCGTACATCCTCCCGTACATTTGTAACAAAGACAACTTGTGAACAATACAATTATAATTACTTGTGACAATACAACACTAAAGGTTAAAATACCAGCTTCATTAAAAGTACTGATTAAAAATTGAAATATAACGGCATGTACGTGTAGTAGGGTTGCATTACAGAGTACTGTTTAAAAGCTGGACGAGGTAAGACAATGGGCTATTCGAATATCTTGCTGTGCGTACTGGCAATTGGTCTAGTTTTTTGTTCTGATAGGGTTTCTGTATTTCCGTTCTGGCTGATTCAGGTGTAATCTTTGTAAAGTCATTATCAGAATTGTTCGATCAACAAAGCATGCATGTAGAGTAAAATGCCCCTAACTAAATAAATGCAGTCTGAATACTTAGGTTCAGACAACCTTATGACATGAACGGTAAATATTCTGGATTCGTAGTGTACATGTACTTCAGTGTCTACAGAATGTAAAGAAGAAAATCTAAAACAAATGCAAGCTTACGAGGAAAAAACGCATTTTTTACCCAGAAGTATGCCGAAAAGCCCCATCACTGTGAGGGTAACATAAAATACATCTTTTAAGCCACATATGAAAGTCACTACCCCAAAATAGAGACCACTAGTCACACACCAGTCATGCTGTGCCCTTCGCACAAATTGCCTGGACATATTAGGAATAAGTACAAGCCTTCGTGGACAAGAAATTCTACATTTTGACCTGCACAGGGGGCAAGTTGCAACGGGTTACGCCCAACGAGATATTTTCTTATAAAATACTAGAAAGTCGGATTTTAACTAAATTGACTAATTAGTGATGTAGAACCGTAAATACTCTGGATTCGTACATGTACTTCAGTGTCTACAAAATGCAAAGAAGAAAATCTAAAACAAATGCAAGCTTACGAGGAAAAAAACACACATTTCATCCAGAAGTGTGCCAAAAATCCCCATCACTGTGAGGGTATAATAAAATACATCTGTCTAAAATATGTCTAAAAAAGTCTAAAATGAAACTAACTAACCCAAAATAGGGACCACTATTCAGACCAGTCGTGGTGTGTAGCCTTTCTACAAAATTCTCGAAAAATATCAGGAATAAGTACAATTACAATTACAAACCGTCGAAAACAACAAAGTCTACATTTTGACCTGCATAGGAGGCTACTTGCAACGGGTTACGCCCAACGAGCTATTTTCTTCCTACAAAATTGCAGGAAAATATTACGATATAAGTACAAACCTTTGTAAGCAACGAATTCTACATTTTTTACAAGTCTGTATCTAACCATCGTGCACGTGAAATAGCCATATCCGTAAAAAGGTATAGAAGGCCATAGATTATTAAGAAGAAATACAACTGCGTCACACTACATTCAACCTCCTGTACAGGCCTCCGGGCGGGTGGGAGTTTTGATACTGTGTTTTGTAGAATTTTCAACGCTTTTTTTGCCGGCCATTCTACAACCAGCCGCCCAGAGAAGATCCATGGGGGGTACAAACCTTCTCTGGGCGGCTGGTTGTAGGATGGCCGGCAAAAGAAAGCGTTAAAAATTCTACAAAACGCATGTATTAAAACTCCCATCCGTTCGGAGGCCTGCACAGGAGGCTAGTTGCAACAGGTTACGCCCAATGAGCTATTTGCTTACTAGAAAGTCGGGTATTAACAAAATTGATTCGGAATTCATGCTAGCATATTTGTGTGACAATTGAGCATGCAATGAAAACAAAATTAACAAAGATTTTTTTCTGAATGTTTATACAGATAACGAACAAACCAATTTTCAGCAATTTACGAACCACTGTTATATGTATATGTACTTGAATATGCTAATCAAAAATTCAAACCCACCTCTAAGATGATTTCGATCGTCCGATGATTTCGAGCGTCTTGTAAGGCATTGACGGGCGGCGTTTTTCTGCGCTTCCAAAAACGAGCAGCGCGCTCACAGGAACACGTCGCAGCGTCTGGCGTTCTCAGCGACAATTCGCGCAGCGAACAGTTTTCATTAGGCCACAGCAAGTACATTTTATGGACGACATCCTCCATAGGATCCAAGTCTAATACTATAGTCATAGAGCAAAAAAAAGATTCCTACATTCTCCAATTTTGACATCATAAACCTTACTAAACAAGAAATGATACCTATATTATGCCGAGTTCACTACCAACTGTTGCAACATTCATTTTCAATGAAAATGAACGTTTTCAATCATAGTTCAAATGATTTTGATTCAGTGGGAACATCACGTATAAAAGAAATGAAATACATCACTGAGTCAGAGTAAACGACAAAACGAGAAATCAGGGCCTTGTCCTGTCTCTTTCTTCATATCTTATATATTCACCTTCCGGCATGGCATTTTTATCATATTGACCACCGTCGGAAGGCAACAGAAATTGTTTTTATTCCTAAAATCATGCGAAAATTAATGCAAGTGCTAATATAATGTGATCCATGAAAATATCTTGCTGTGGCCCAATATATGAAAATTCGTAGGGATTAAAAAAAAGTGTCGACCAATCCCATGAAAGGCTGTGGAAGGGACAGGTTTATAAGGTCTGGGTGAACTTAGACTCGACGACACGTTTCCTAGAATTATGTCTTCAAGTTCATGTTCATTTGACAACACTCTATAACGAAATTTGAAAGAACGCAATTTATAAAAATTATCGATATTATACAATTAAAGATTATAAAAAGTATATTAAGACCTTTAATTATGGAAAACGATCCAAATAAGATTTTACATTTTTTTCCGGCTCTAATCAACCTTTTGTTGTTCTTTTATGCCGAACGTAATGAACCCTGAGATATTTATTTTCCTGGTCAGGTAAGGTGTGCGTTTGGCGCACTGTGGACTTATGGTATAGTGAGGTTGGATATTGAATATTTACTAAGGTAAGCACTTAATGGTCTGGAGCTGCCCTGCCTCCCACAGCGGAGGCAATCTTCAATGATTTCCCAACAATTTCTTTGAAGAAGGGAAAACAGCGTTGTTTGAAGAAGGGAATTTGAAAACTGAAGTCTTAAATATTTAAGCGTAGGTGTAAACGTATCTTAATCAAATTCTCAACCAGCGACTTGGCACGAATGATCTTTTCCTTTCTAGTTCTTGTTGCTAACGATTAACCTAATATCTCATTTTCATTTTAAGCAAATTACAGATAGTATTATGTGGGGAAGGTATGGGGTTGTCGATTTCTAGTTGTTTATGTATTTGCTTTGTTTATTTATTTATTATCAAATCCCACTCATAACTCTTCATGAGTTCCAACACTGCATCTCTCTCCTGTCCAACCCTGGTAGCAGCGGCACGACGTCCCCTGCCGGCCGGGCAGGTACTGCAGCCTGTCTCGAAGCGAGAATGCATCTTCTGATATGGGCTGTGTTGTGTCAACAGGCTGTGAACGTAGAAATATGGGCAATGTTTGTGTCCATAGAACACTGTTCATGCAACAATAAGGCCTTCTGGCAGTATATACACAGAAACTACTACTATACAGTGCATGGACACACGCACACCGTGACCCGGCAAACCGCACAAAACACACACACACACACACACACACACACACACACACACACACACACACACACACACACACACACACACACAAACAACACAACACACACACACACACACACACACACACACACACACACATAGCAGGCCCTTTGATTATGTCCTTATCAAGCGAAAATTTACAATTATAGCGAACAGACTCAATGACTAAGTGATAAAGCCTTACACTTTGCTCGAGCTGAAAAACTGATGAAGCCCCCTCCTCCAGTCGACATTCCTCCGGTGACTGATCCATCGACGTCCTCTCGTAGTTAGTCACACATCTACAGGCACATGATATGTATTATCATGTGTTGTATGAATAAGCACATAGTCGATGTCTATATAAAATTACATGTAAAATGAAGTCGTCAATCATTGTATGATACATGTATTGTCCCCTACCTTCCGTGCTTTTTTTAAAGTAAATTTCCGTGTCCATATCACGGCACTTTATTTTATGAAACATATTATAACAAACCTCGTAAGGTACATTCGTAGTCAAACAGAGCAACAATGTTTCCCTACCTTCCGTGGTTATTACACTCTCTCCTGCTACAGTCAGCAGCCCGTTTTACCATATCCTTAGCGAACGGTCCGAACGTTGATGTCACATAATCGCGAAGTATTAAACAATTCTCCTGCGAAAATAGAATAATATACGAAACAATGAAACTCATCCATACATCCAGTGAAAGCCGGTTTAAGCGAGATCCAAAGCCCAGGTACAGACCAAACAAGAAATCAGAGAAATTTCGATTTCAGGAAAGTGTGACATCCTCTCATGCTTTACCCACCCATGTGCTGTCAACCTATGCTGAACAGACAGACAGACAGACAAACCCACACGCTGTGCCCGGATATCAGTTATTTCAGTTCGTACCTTTTTGTTGACGTCTTCCCAGGCGCCCCAGATGACCACCCCAGCCGCGCCCTGTCCAGCTGGCTCTTGTATGGACGAGGCCAGGTCAGTCTGAAATAAAGCATCAATAGAACAAAAGAAAGATTATCAGAAAAATTATGACTGTTAGCTACACACCTGATACAAACATTTTTTTTTGTTATTAAGATTCTAGTTTATCGTGTATTTTTCATTTGTAGGGATCACTACATCAAAATTCATTTCGTAGAAAAATCTATTTAGCTTATCAATTATCAAATTCTTTGGTTAAATCATTGCCACTTCAAATTCAGGGCAATTATGAAATGAAGAGAATCACAAAATTTCAATACTGTTTATCATAATAATTAAAGTACTGGGCACTTGAAACCTTGGTTAAACTGAACTGTGCATACATTTTCTTAGAGTTAGGTTTATCATCTACTAAAGATCTAAAAAAATATCACCAATTACTTCCGTAAGGTACTCCACTGACTCCCGATACCGAAGCCACGCGTAAGGGTAGACGGGGATATCCGAACTTTGCCGAGCGAGCATGACTCGGAAAGTCTCGGCCACTCGGCCACGAATGTACTGCTCGGAACTGGGCAGTGTTTTCAGCACGTTGGACAGGTATATTGAAGGGTATAAGGCCGAGCTCCCCTCCCACAGCCATTGAAGTTCGTCATTGTCGGATTTTACTCTCTGAAGGAAACAAAGAACGCATTTTTTACAAAGACAATTGATGATACAAACTTTTGACAACATACAGCTTGCAAACTTTGATTTGCGTAAATATATATTCTATACTGTACTTTAAGCATCAAAGCACAGACAAACATATACATATGTATATAAAGAGAGAGAGAGAAACTTACATACATACATACACAAATACACACGCACAAACACATGCACATACACCCCCGACATATACACACGAACAAACACAAACATACATGTACACACACCACATAACGTTACATACATACATACATACATATACAAGCACACACACAAATAACATTGCGTACACAATCATGCACAAATACAAATACACAGAAATAAAGAAAATGGTTACCTTCCGACAGTCATAGCTGGGGTCCTCTTGAAGCCTATTTATGTTTGGAAAATTATAACATTCCGGGAACAAGTAAAACCCCCAGAAGCCCCCCGGGCGTAACGACTTAACCAGGTTCAAGGTTTCCCCCATCCACACCCTCGCTGACCCCTCAAACTCATCTCTTGCTTGTGACGTCACTTCCGCCCCGCTAGCATACGGCAACTTTTGTTTGACGAGTTCTTCTGACCTTGCGCGGTAGATGTTCTTCATACAAAAATGAAAAAAAATACTTAAAATTTTGATACATAACAGTAATATTCATGTTTCTTAAGAAATAATATCAAATGATATAAGCTAAGCAAATGAAGCTCATCAACTAAATCAGATATAGGCCAACGTGGATCTTATTTCTATCATCAATGAGACAAATCTAGTAGAGATCATCAATGTATCATCATTTGTATCATCAATGAGACAAATCTAGTAGATCAATCGGCAAAGATATGAGGGCGCAGAACTCTATCTAGATCTTAGCCTCCATCAGGCCTTCCTAAAGAAGGTTAGAATGGTAGAATCCGGTAAAAACACGGTGTTGTTGGCCAGGGGTGTGGGTCTACTAATAGGGTTTTATTTCTACCTCGGAGAGGAGAAATGAACTCTATGGTGGCAAAACTCAAATCCCCTGGCTAATTATTCTCCATATTTAGCTAAATTTCACTGTTTTGACTTAGTCTCTACCAGACTAACTACGCTGGCTTTACTGAATTTACTAGTATATAGGAGAATATTTGCCAGAAGTATTTGGGAGCCTTGGGGTTTAGAGGGGAAATTAACCCTCTCACAGACTGACTCTCCTGGTCAACTATTTCCCTTATTTTACCGAATGCTAGGGTCCGTACCCCCGTAGGAGGGCCTAGTGGAGGCTAGTTTTGAACCCGTGTTAGTCTGTTGCACCCTCCCGAACATCAGGGTCAGTGGCGCGGCCCAAAGGATTGGGGGTAGGCTCCTTTTGGCCGCGCCACTGACCCTGCTCGGGAGGGTGGTCTTTTGGCCTTGGAGACTAGTAGGATATTACCTTTGACCCCCAGTTCCTCCGCCACAGCGGTCTCCAGAACTCCCAGTCGATCACGCCGAGACCGCGATAGTCGGCGTCGGGGATCAGCCGGTACACGTCGTCTGTAGCTTTGGTAAGGTGGTCCTGTAGGTCGGCTTTCTGCGATGGAACACCGAATACATCCGTGAATATATCAGGGCCCATCACCCTTCATTGAACCGCGACGGGGGCCGACATCGCCTACCAGATACCTTTGACTCAGTGTTGACGTCACACTTCAAAGACACGTGACAAGCTTCACTGGGTCAGTCTACTGAGGAAGACCAGAGTGACTGGTCGAAAGCTCTAGGTGAGAGAACTTTTTTGTGTTGGACCAAAAGTTTTAACTTTAAACACATCCGTGAATAGTTTCATCAGGTTGGTAAGTCACTGAGTAAAGAGACTTTTTTACACAATATATAAATTCAGCCGAAGTTTCGGTGACCGTCTGTCACCTAAATATTGTACGTTTGTGAATGAATCTTTAGCAGCGACACCTGTGCTGCAGTGCAATGTGAGCCAGTCAGAATTGCCTCCGAGGAAGGTGACAGACGGTCACCAAAACATCGGCTGTGAATAAAACACTTGTTTTCTTTTCCTTACCCGAGGGAGCCCCCCGTTGGTTTCCTGGCCGGTGTGTTCGTGAATGCTCGGGTACAAGCCGAGGTCTCTGGCGTAGAAAATCGTGACGTACGTTCCATTCCACTCGTGCCCAGGGTTGTACACGATCTCGTACCCATCCAAGCTGATCTCGACGCTGGGACAAACAATACATGTATCATACTTATGTTCATTTTATTCGTATTTTTGTGCACTATTTCAACATATCTTAAAACACAAGCGTCCCACCTGGGATATAGCACGTGTCCCAGCAAATGGGGATCTTAAAGTGATATTTAAATTTAATACGTAGTACAATACTAGGTGATATGGGATGAAAAGGCGCTTATACAATCATTAAAAGAATTTCTTACGTTTAGACATTCTTTAAAATACTGTCCTATATTCACAATGTATGGATTGTCAAAAGTCAACAAGTATCTGAATTTGCTAGATGAATTCATGGCGAGAAATTCTGGTATAGAAGTTGATATAGTTGCATATAATGAATTACGTATATCAGAATATTTGGGACAAACGTTTAACAATCAAAAAGTGGTATTCGTCTTCTATTAATTCTGGACAGAATGGACAAACCCTCTGGTAAGCAGGTATTTTCTGAAATCTTCCTGTTTCCATACTTAATTTGTGACAGCCAATCCTGAGTTTTTTTAATATGACCACATATATCTAAAACGTAACCTTGCTTCCAGGCCCATGCACTACATTGACAAAGAATCGAGTTCGAATCGCGAAATCGTCACCGCACTTTCATTTCTTTATATTTCTTTTTTTTAATTAATTAATTAATTTATTTATTAAAATTCATCACAACAGTGAAAGGGACGGGGGAACAGGTGTAACACCTTTACCAGCCCTCGTCCCGATACAGCATACAAATACAATAGACTCAAGTATAAAATAATGAGTGAACAATATGAGAATTACATATACATATACATAATGAAAAAAGAAGACGGCATGATTTAACAAGCTTAATATAGACAGACTACCGAACCCTCAAATCCTGACAAGACGCGCACTTGCACGCAGTGGACCATGTACAGAGGTTGTCAGATTCAAAGTTCAACTAGTCGCTCAAATGTTTAAGTCATTCGGACTTTCGAATTCATCAAGACAAAAGATGGTGTAAAGGGATTGAATAGTTCGAAAGGAAATCTAAAAATGATTACTACTCATAATACACAAAGACGAATACCTCCAGAAGGTGAGAATATATATGAAGAAAACCTACAATATCTAAGGCACAGAATGTGCCGGTTGTGAAAAATATCAAAGACATTACAATATCCTTGAAGATAATATCTACGATTACCCGAATTTCTTCGCACACACTCTGGACGGGACGTTCCATACAATGTTGAACGGTCTATCCGGTAGCTCTGGGCCTGCGTGGGAGACGTGCAGTTGCCATAGTAACAACAGTAGGACGAAAACGTTCACCTTTGAACTCAGAGTCACATCTCTTAAGGTAGTCCTTTTGTAACACCATTGCAGCGGTTGAGCGTGAAAAGATTAGGGGAGGGACCAGTTATTTTGGTACTTATTTTTTTAGATAATTTTTTTCCTGGGCAAATTTTGCTCAGAAAGGCCCAGTTTTCTGGTAAGAAGGACAGAAGAATGTATATTTTTAAAATATGGCTAAAAAGTGTGACCTTTTCCATGGTTTGACCTGTTATTGACCTCTACATACTTGTTATCTGTGTGGACTGTTCTACTTTGCCAGGGGGTGAAATCCTGGTCTCATTTTAATTTTCTAGCTGTAGCTCATTAACACGCCGGAGTTGAACTTTCACTATTTGTACCAAAAGACACCTGACAAATGTAGCTTTCCAGTGGGGTAAAGACTTGAGGTTTGAGATAAAAGTAAATGTGTTTTGAAGTGTTTGTTTCTAGTGGTTTTAGCATAGATTTCAATGGGATCTTCTTAAGCTGGTCCCTCCCCCATTAGGCCCCCAGAACTGGTTAGACCAGCTGTCAGCCAACCTCTGAACTTTAAACCGGCCAGACGTTAGCGTAAACCTAATGTGCAGTTTTCACTACTGTCGACAGGCGTCTCTCTTGTCTCTTCTTCACCACTACCGGTGATCTCTCGGTCAGGCACCTGAGGGGGGTAGCTCTATAGAGCACGTCAACAGAATGTACTATACTGTGCGAAACCCGAATTTTTCACGTTGGGTAATTTTGGTGAAAGTTACCTAGGTAGCAACGTTACCTAATCCAACAGTACTTGATCCACAACAAACCTCACACACACATCCCACTGGCAGCATGCTACACACAGAAGCCGCTACAATTATAACAACTGAAACACAAATTCTCTTCAAGAAATAAACTTTTTATTCATTCAAGAAGCACAAGATTTGTGTCATCCTCTCCAAAAGTTGCTACTGGCCACGTTTACTTTTGTGAGGAAACAATTAATCCCAACCAACCCTTTCTCCTAGAAGAAAACAGAAGGACAGGGTAAAGAGGTTTCAGCTGGCCGAGCTATGTGTAATTAGCTGACGTGCCCGCCAGAGTGCGCAAACGGAGGGAACAAAAACCTCGTGCGGAGCGGTCGTTCCTCCTGAGTGAGCACGATGAGTGGTTCGTTCTCCGCTGTATTATAGAGTCAGCTGCCCTCCTAAAACCATAGGACTCAAGCCGTAGTGCCTGTGGAAACGTCCACCATTCTTCAATGCTGTCCTCAATACTTCTCAGGGAACCGCCATACTCAAGCCATAGAGCTTGGGGAAACGTCCAGCATTCTTCAATGCAAGTGTGAAGTGAAGTGACACTGCACTGCGTTAGTGTTTGTGTTATGAGTACACGCACTACTAATACTCAAAGAAATACCACAGAACTCTATTCATGTTGCAACTTGTTAGAGTCAGCTGCCCTCCTAAAAAGCTGGGACTCAAGCTGTAGTGCCTGTGGAAGCGTCCAGCATTCTTCAGTGCAAGTGAAGGGACACTAGACTATGTTTTACTATGTTTGTGTTATGAGTACTGATTACAACACAGCTTAGAACTCTGTTCATGTTGCCACTTGTCAAGTCAAAAATACAATCTAACTTTATATCAAACAAGCTGTAGTGCCTGTGGAAGCTTCCAGCATTCTTCAGTGCAAGTGAAGTGACACTACACTATGTTTTACTATGTTTGTATTATGAGTACTACTCAAACAAACACCACTGAGAACTCAGTTCATTTTGCCACCTGTTAAGTCAAAAATACAATCAAACTTTATATTAAAACATTTTTTGCGGAAAAAAATCCGCTTATCCCATGCCCACGTGCTTTACCCTCCAAGCAGGGATTTAGGCGTCGGTTTATTTCTGATGAAGTGTTTTATGCGTTTTATCGAAACTTCTTTTTTCAGTGTACTGCTACTGTTTTACGTCGGTCAAATGGATACTGTCCTGACAATGCATTTGATACTGTCTTGCCAATTTGATACTGTCTTGCCAATTTGATAGTCTTGCCAATTTGATACTGTCTTGCCACTTTACGTTGTTCCACTATTATATTTTGATCTCTCAGTACAATTGATTGATATATAATGTTCATTTTATCCGTATATTTCCTAAGTCGAACAAGGACAGGCCGGGCAATTGACGTATCAGATTTCTTTGCTACACGGGCCGACCTAATTATACTTGTATTTCGCATGCGAAAGTGATTTTATGTCTACCTCCTAGGACCATAGCTAATGGACACAGTATCAACCAACAAATGGCGGGTTTGGCGGAAATACTAGGAATTTTATTGACACAAACGTGAAACACAGGCAACACGCCTCCATATGACAGAAACAGTCATCTTGCAACACGCTCGAAGACCTCAAGATGGGCGTGCGTCTCTTCAAGTCTCAGTGTAGAAGAGGACGTGTGACGCGGGAAGTTTCCAGAAGTTTACTCCTCGTGGCTTTTCTGTTCTCTGATTGGCTGCTCAGCATGTGGACACCGCGTGATTCTAAAGTGATTTCGGAATGATACAACTAAGGGCCAAATTAAAGCAAAGCTCTGTTCCCGTCGTCCGGCATAAAATCAGTATTTATATCTGGTCCTAATATCGGGGAAAGGGTGTTGGATACTAATCCTCTAATATTTTCATTCGGAGATTCCTTGATTCCCCTGAGAGTAATCTCTTTGCTTTGAGCGTTTGTATTTCCCATCGCAGAGGTGTCCATCGTTCCACTGGAGACCGGGTGTTCGCACCTTCACGACAATTGCTGCTAAGCGTTTTTTTTTTTATTTCCCTTTGAGAGACCGACAAGGTGCAGGCAAAACAAACAGGGGTCGGCTATGTTTTCTACATTTAATCAGAAAATAGCACATAAAAGATCCCAAAGACACTGAAGAACCCCAAAACCCCCGGCCCAGTTTTTGGCTTGCTATATGGAGGCTATATATTTTGTACATAAGATGACGTTATCCACACATGTATTTAGCTTTGTATCATCTTTAGCTGTAGAAGACCATACAAAAGTCCATGTACTTTTTGTTATGTCAATAAAGAATCTTTTATAAAGTCTTGAAATAGACTAAATCTTAGTTTATGTTTCTCTGATGTGACCATCCGTCGTGTAAAATTTCTCACTGGCTTAGTTGCCATCGGGAAACGTTGGCGGTTGGTAAGATTTTGGTTCTATAAGAGGTTCTTCCTCACTCATTTTATAGTATAAGATGAGGTGATAAACTTCACAAACGTTTGATTATGCATATCTTCATTGTCAAAGGGTTGTTTTCTCTTCTTTTTGGTGTTGAATCAAGGTAAGGTGATTGAACGGGCAGAATAGAGCGGCCATTTGAGTCCTGATAATTAACCTCCCGACCCTTTTCGGACGTTACATAAAAGTAATGTTAATTGCATGCCTTGCCATGCGTTATCTTATGAAATGTCAATGCCCTATGGCAAACCCCATTCATCCAACTCTGCGGATCAGCATTCAATCTCTGGCTACGCCTACGGCGGTACATCCCTTGTTTTTAAAGTATTGAAGTTTTGATCGTGGTCCCTTTTATTTTTGCAGTTAAAGTACCGGGTGTAAAGCTACGTTTGTTCAATATGAGTGTAAAAATTTGTTTAACAGTGGACAAATCCTGTGTTTGTACTGGGATGATACTTGTACAGTACAGCCATTATCTAATGTGAACAGACAACTGCTGGTGATCAATCTAGGTTTGTTCATAATTACTCATCTGTATAATTGCAGTGCGTGAAGAACCCGTAACAAAACATGGGACGTCAATAGGCTCTGGTTACAGGGCTTCCCATCAATCCTTCTTGTCAGTTCGTCAAATGTTGGCGTTTTCGGAACATCTGAGCTTTCGGCTTCCTATAAAGTTCCGAAACAGCAGTACTATTAGTTTACGTTTCTTCATATGACCTAACGCTATGTAAAAAATCTTATCGTTATGGTTGTTATCGAGAAACTTTGCCGGTTTCTAACATTATTTTTCTTCTGTAAAAGATTTACCCTCACATATTTCTTTTAGGAGCCGAAATTTTCACATGATTGATTATGTATATCTTTATGGCGAAATGGTTGTTTTCTTCCCTAAATTTTACACTTTTTTGTGGTGAAGTAGGGTCAGGTGTGATGATTGAGCCGGCGGAATACAGAGCGACAATTATGCAGGGTCCTGATAATTACTCCCTGACCTCTATGGCCGTTGCATCTTTACAATAAAAGGAATGTTAATTTCACACCTTCTCAAACGTTATCTAAAGAAACGCCTCTGGAAACACGGCACACAGCACATACCTCAATCACTCTACTCTGCTAATCAGCACCCCCTTCGGTTTCTCTGCAATTAGCCCTCGGGCATGAATTTGCAATAAACATATTATTATAATTGCTCACCTGCATAATTAATGCATAATTGCGGTGCACAAACAACTCTTAACAATACTGTGTGCAGCAATTATCCTTACTGTTAGATTTTAATTTGCATAATGACTACGTTTGAACAGTTAAATAGGCCGAGTTCCCCGCGCACTTCTTCATTCCACCCTCTCGTCTCCAGCTGCAGATCTGAGAAGTGAGAAAAAGATCTCCAGAAGCCACACTCGCCGTGACTGACCTGACAAGAAATCCGGTAAGTACATACAGCAATACATCTTTAACTGTTATATCTTTTTGTTTGTTTGCTTGCTTAACCTCTTTTTTATATGTCAGTTAATGTGGTTTCTAGGCGTTTCGCTGATGCAACAATTTGCCGTCAATGTGGTCATATCATCTTCACCCATCCTCTTGGTCCAAAAAGTTTAATCACTGACGAAACACAGCAAGATCGTCTTTAGGTCTGGCTCAAAAGAACATTTTTGACAGAAATGAGCTCTGTACTGTGTCTATCATGCAGCGAGTTTTAGAGATCAGGAGATGTTCGCCGGTCACCAATCCATGTTCGACAGGATAGAGAATACGATCGACCCTAAACAGATTTTATACCTTTCGACGATTCAGAAATACGACAGAAGAATATCAGCTGTGTTCACATTAAGTGTAAAAATTATTAGTGTAAAAAAAGGACTTCAGAGCCGAACCCCTTTTTTCTTGATACAGCAGGGCCTCTGGCGTTTTTACACAGAGATCAGCCTATCATTCACCTTTTTTTTCTTTTTGTAGCGAGGAAGTGTTCAGTATGTATACAAGGTAGTGGGTGTGTGCGATTAACCGGACTTTGGGAAATAACCCTCTCATTTACCAACCCCAAGCGTCTATTTGCTGTCTGTTAAAATAACATCTTGAAGAAATTAAATGTAAATAAAAAAAAGATTTCGACCTCGTACAGATCTCGCCTTGGCCCCGTAAAAGTTATTGAACATTAAGTCTTAAAACATAGAAATAGCCTGATGATAGTATAATTGCTATTAAGATTGCCTGGTGATTGGCAATTGCTCCTTGTTTGTGTTTATAGGACTCTCCTGCTAATCACGATCCTTTTCTTGACAAACTTGGTAAGATACAGAGGCTGTCATTAGTGCCTATGATTTGTTTGCCGCCGTAATTACCTCCGGGGAAGGAGATATCCTTCCGCGAGGAGGTTTTACTATGGTTCGAAACATTTCTGTCAGCAGCTGTTTCTCGCGATCGGCTGGACGGATTTGTCTGTGGTACGGTATACGTATTGCTATTGGGCTTCAGAAGATGCAGAACGTTTTTGTTTAATTGCATATGTGTTTATGGGCGTCGAAATAAAAGGTTTTTAAGTGCTCCGGACACCCCCGCCATGCTGAAAATGGTAATTACCATGTTGTTAAGGAATGGGGCCGTTGCAGTTTTGGGTCTTAGCATTCAAAAGGGGTCAAACAGAGGGGTGTCTGGTTCCGATAAAAATTTTGGGTGACGGCGCAGAAATGACGGCGCGGGAGGACGGCGGGGGTAATGGCGCGGGTGACGGTGCAGGCTGTCAGACTGTGAGACACGTTAATCAACAGTCCATACCGAACCAACCGTCAGTAGCCATCAAACACATACAAACATATTACGCACATAACTTTCATACTACACACAAACAAATAACCTAAACCAATAGAACACAAAAAAAACCGGAGGTTTGAAATCTACGATTTCCCTTGTTCTTACTGATTTTAAAGCCTAGCCCACAAATAGATTGGATTGTTATAATAATTTTGCGACGAAGTAGTTTTACACTGTTCAGACAATGAACTGTATCGGAGTTCACTAGCTAAGCCGAGGACTGTGGGGCATTCGCACTAAAATTACGCTCTATTCATTTTCCATTTGTAACAACGTTTCCTTTTCTGTCATCGTGGTGTCATAGTAGATTACAAAAATTAAAGGAAAGCGATTGCTTGACTTTAATTTTTTGACCGAAATCAAGCGTTGAATTTTCTCTATTGTATCTTGCTGTGTTGGTGGCGTCCGAAACAACGCCCCCTTTTTCTGTCAGTCGGATCATGATAAACGATTAGCCTGAAGAAGTGAAATTAGAGAAGAAAAGGAAAGACGCGACTTTTGCCCGATAGGAATTTTTTACCTTTAATTACTTGCAGTGGCCTATTGTTCAGGTGCGATGGCACGTAGCGTCCGAAACAACGCCCCCTTTTTCTGTCAATAGGATCATGATAAACGATTAGCCTGAAGAAGTGAAATTAGAGAAGAAAAGGAAAGACGCGACTTTTGCCCGATAGGAATTTTTTACCTTTAATTACTTGCAGTGGCCTATTGTTCAGGTGTGATGGCACGTAGCGTCCGAAACAACGCCCCCTTTTTCTGTCAGTCGGATCATGATGAAAGATTAGCCTGAAGAAGTGAAATTAGAGAAGAAAAGGAAAGACGCGACTTTTGCCCGATAGGAATTTTTTACCTGTCACTACTTGCAGTGGCCGATTGTTCAGGTGTGATGGCACGTAGCGTTCGAAACAACGCCTCCTTTTCTGTCAATAGGATCATGATGGACGACTGAAAACTGCTGTGGCCTTTTGCTCAGGTGTGATGGCTAATCTAGATCTCCAAGCTGACGTTTCGGTGATAGGTGCAGTATTGTGGGGCACCACCGTGTTTCTGTGGCCCAGATGGACTGAAATACTGGGCAACAACAACAACAGCAGCACAGGCCTTTCCTGACATAGTCCATATGTCCTTTCTAATAATTATTGCAGTAATGTAGAGGCGAACTATTTGAAACCGACCCGTAAAAAACCCGGGCCCCGACGCATCCTTATGTACCTGGCCGGGCGGGTAGTGATCCCAGCACCGTGGAGATACCTTGAACCTACGGTGGTCTGGATGTAGCGGGCTTATTGGATTTGAATACGGGCTGTCGTCTCTAAACCACATTAGATCTATGGTATTCTATTTGGCAGAGGAAAGTCACAACCTTTCGACGGTTTGCTTGAAAAATGTATCCTGAACTACGCCTGACCGCAGACCGGCTTCATCTCAACAACCGCCCGCGGCCTTGCGCGCGCGCCCGCCGAAGGCACAAAACTCCCCCTCAAATGAAGTAATTGGAAGTTTATGTCATGAAATATAATTATTTGTGCGTCTACTGTGCATTTTCAGAGTCTACGGTGTGGGTCTGGAATGTCTACGATGTGGCTCCGAAACGTCCAGACCCAGGCCTGAGGCCGAAACGTCCTGATCGGCTGGCGGCCGAACTGTCCAGGGGCCGAAGTGTCCGACATTCTCGTTGGACACGTTTGAACCATTAGGATTCTTTAAGAATGGGCTACAGTGTCGTGTACAAGCAAGCGTGTATTTACTACATGCATATAGAGCTGTATCCATCGTAACTTTTGCATTTGCTTCAAATTTTGTCCTTAGTGTTTATCATACAACTGGAAGATGAAGCTGTCCGTGTGTCTCCTGTTCCTGGGCTGCCTGGTGCTTGTGACCGAAGCCATCCCCGCACCTCGCGAGGAGGACCTGCAAGGCCTGCTGACCGAGTTAGAAGACTCGGTTGATGAGCTAGAAGGTACGTATGAGATGCACTAGTGTCTGAATCCTAATCTAAATGTAACGTAACGCGCTCCCGGATGTTACTGTACATGTACGTCGTAAACAATTTTTTTTGACAATTGTTATCAATACATTTATTACTCGTATCCGTGTTGGGTTGATCTCAGTGTTATTGAAATCCCTTTTTTTTCTTCTCTTCTTGTAGGTGCAGTGGCAGAGGCGGGAATGGAAAAGCGTCGTCATTATGCGTTTCGAGTATGCATAATGAATTGCGAAAAGAAGTCTTTTTGGGCTCAACTTCCTTGCAAGGGTATGTGTGAAATCAAACATGGGAAGCGGGACGAAGTTGGACTGGAGGCTGAGGAAGAAGGTACCCTTACCTTAAGCTGTGATGCCCCACTACACACTAAATCTAATTATACCTTGGAAATGACTATCTTGGATTTCATTTATTGAAATTGCAGGGGTACAATAGGCGTGGGACACAAGTACGTACAAACATATAACTAAAATCATAAACACTAGTGACGGCCGATAAATGTAATCTAAAAACATCAAACTAAATTACATCTTAACTGCTGGTATCACCGTATCAGTCGCTACTATCAGTCCGTGCGAGTTTAGCTTCTAGGATATTACTGCTTCTAAGACATTGTCCTCTTTTTTACGTAATATTTTCTTTCTTTGTTTATTTGTTTGTTTCTTTTAAACTTAATTGAAGCCTCGATTATTTCTGTTGATTTTATAGATGTGTCGTCTCGGGTCGATCTCGATATTTTCTTACGTCTTCTGATTTTTTCTCTTGTTCTGTCAGAACTGCAGGAGAAGGCGTTCTTAGCCTGAAGCGGGACTCCAGTGCCTCCGCCTGGTGACGTCACGGCAATCGGTACGTCTGAGCTGGCTAATTCCCGCCATAGCTCTATAACTATGACGTTATTGCGTTAGTTAACGTTAAGTACGTTGATAAAGGTTAGAGATCCAGGTAAACAATACTCATAGGAAATTCAATCTGTACTACTGGATAAATTACGGAGATAATATCCGGACGTTTCGAGTGACATCCACCTCTCTTCTCCAGCGTCACTAATGAACTAACAAAACTCGATAAGGCATATATGAGCAACTGGAAAAACCGGTTGGACATGACAAAGGTTCATAAGGTCATTGATATGTTAAGTACGTTAAACGTTGAATAGGTCAGACTTATTGGGTTTAGACTGATTTTGCCTTGATTGTTGTCAATATTTCCCGTTTTGGGTTGATCTCGGTGTTTCTAACGTATCATGTTTTCTTACAGAACTGCAGAAAGCTCAGGACCAGGCGGCTGAAGCTGAAGACTTTCAATAGTTTCATTAGGTATAAAGACATGGGTGATTAAGTTCTTTGATTCACAAATACAAAGGAATGTACCTGCCTACGTTTCAATAACCCATCTGTTAACTTGCTTGGAGCAATAATGTTTGGGCCAGCAATGGTCGTTTTGCAACTGACATTTACATCTTATACGTTTTCTAATAGCAGTGATGATACTAAACAAGGTAGAATGGTGATTCGGATTCTTTTCTTATAATTATTAGTTCTTTTTAACACTTAAATACCACAGAATCCCTGAACCGCTGCTACATCGAAGCGTATTTCTAATAAATATTAGCAGGGAATTTAACTGAGGATAATTATCTGCAGTTTTAAACAATTTCAGGACATGTGCGTGAACATTCTGTACATCTAAGAAAGCAATGGAAATGAATGTTTGAATATGAAGGATAATAAAAGTGGTGACTGGTTTAAATTCATGTTTCTGTGTTGTTCTATAAAGAGTGTTGTTGTCAGATCACAGGCGATAGGCCATCCAGTTTTTGTTGAAATCTATGTTCAAACTATTTTACATCTTGATTGTTTTGCGTATGTTATAACATACACTGTCTAATCACTCAGTCCGTTGTTACACAAGGAATGAACACGATCCGTTGAAAGATTTTCGAGAATCATACACTGACAAACACCATGAACACGGTCCGTTGAAAGATTCCCGAGAATCATACACTCAACACATAACTCTGTCCGGGACAGACAACAAAATCCCAGAAAAAGACGGGAATCAAATTGTTTTAGGTGGTGTGACCCTTGACCTATAATAGGGGACCGTCCATTCTTCAACAAGGCAGGGGTGACACGTATTCTTCCGTGCAGCGAGCTTTCGTTGCGCGCAGCGAGGTCGCCGAGGAATCTCTTTCTGTGCAGGCGTTAGGAAGCTCTTGGCAGGCACGACGCAGGTATTCGTGCGCAGACGAGGAATCTCTTTCTGTGCAGGCGTGAGGAAGCTCTTGGCAGACACGACGCAGGTATTCGTGCGCAGACGGGGAAGCTCTTTGCAGAGATGACGCAGGTATACGCGCAGGCGACGAAGGTGTGCGCGCAGACGACGCAGGTGTGTCCTTGTCGGCCACGGTAGAATCTTTAGCAGTGACACCTGTGCTGCAGTGCAATGTGAGCCAGTCAGAATTGCCTCCGAGGAAGGTGACAGACGGTCACCAAAACATCGGCTGTGAATAAAACACTTGTTTTCTTTTACTTACCTGAGGCAACCCCCAGTTGGTTTCCTGGCCGGTGTGTTCGTGAATGCTCGGGTACAAGCCGAGGTCTTTGGCGTAGAAAATCGTGACGTACGTTCCATTCCACTCGTGCCCAGGGTTGTACACGATCTCGTACCCATCCAAGTTGATCTCGACGCTGGGACAAACAATACATGTATCATACTTATGTTCATTTTATTCGTATTTTTGTGCACTATTTCAACATATTTTAAAACACAAGCGTCCCACCTGGGATATAGCACGTGTCCCAGCAAATGGGGATCTTAAAGTGATATTTAAATTTAATACGTAGTACAATACTAGGTGATATGGGATGAAAAGGCGCTTATACAATCATTAAAAGAATTTCTTACGTTTAGACATTCTTTAAAATACTGTCCTATATTCACAATGTATGGATTGTCAAAAGTCAACAAGTATCTGAATTTGCTAGATGAATTCATGGCGAGAAATTCTGGTATAGAAGTTGATATAGTTGCATATAATGAATTACGTATATCAGAATATTTGGGACAAACAATCAAAAAGTGGTATTCGTCTTCTATTAATTCTGGACAGAATGGACAAACCCTCTGGTAAGCAGGTATTTTCTGAAATCTTCCTGTTTCCATACTTAATTTGTGACAGCCAATCCTGAGTTTTTTTAATATGACCACATATATCTAAAACGTAACCTTGCTTCCAGGCCCATGCACTACATTGACAAAGAATCGAGTTCGAATCGCGAAATCGTCACCGCACTTTCATTTCTTTATATTTCTTTTTTAATTAATTAATTAATTAATTTATTTATTAAAATTCATCACAACAGTGAAAGGGACGGGGGAACAGGTGTAACACCTTTACCAGCCCTCGTCCCGATACAGCATACAAATACAATAGACTCAAGTATAAAATAATGAGTGAACAATATGAGAATTACATATACATATACATAATGAAAAAAGAAGACGGCATGATTTAACAAGCTTAATATAGACAGACTACCGAACCCTCAAATCCTGACAAGACGCGCACTTGCACGCAGTGGACCATGTACAGAGGTTGTCAGATTCAAAGTTCAACTAGTCGCTCAAATGTTTAAGTCATTCGGACTTTCGAATTCATCAAGACAAAAGATGGTGTAAAGGGATTGAATAGTTCGAAAGGAAATCTAAAAATGATTACTACTCATAATACACAAAGACGAATACCTCCAGAAGGTGAGAATATATATGAAGAAAACCTACAATATCTAAGGCACAGAATGTGCCGGTTGTGAAAAATATTAAAGACATTACAATATCCTTGAAGATAATATCTACGATTACCCGAATTTCTTCGCACACACTCTGGACGGGACGTTCCATACAATGTTGAACGGTCTATCCGGTAGCTCTGGGCCTGCGTGGGAGACGTGCAGTTGCCATAGTAACAACAGTAGGACGAAAACGTTCACCTTTGAACTCAGAGTCACATCTCTTAAGGTAGTCCTTTGTAACACCATTGCAGCGGTTGAGCGTGAAAAGATTAGGGGAGGGACCAGTTATTTTGGTACTTATTTTTTAGATAATTTTTTTTCCTGGGCAAATTTTGCTCAGAAAGGCCCAGTTTTCTGGTAAGAAGGACAGAAGAATGTATATTTTTAAAATATGGCTAAAAAGTGTGACCTTTTCCATGGTTTGACCTGTTATTGACCTCTACATACTTGTTATCTGTGTGGACTGTTCCACTTTGCCAGGGGGTGAAATCCTGGTCTCATTTTAATTTTCTAGCTGTAGCTCATTAACACGCCGGAGTTGAACTTTCACTATTTGTACCAAAAGACACCTGACAAATGTAGCTTTCCAGTGGGGGTAAAGACTTGAGATTTGAGATAAAAGTAAATGTGTCTTGAAGTGTTTGTTTCTAGTGGTTTTAGCATAGATTTCAATGGGATCTTCTTAAGCTGGTCCCTCCCCCATTAGGCCCCCAGAACTGGTTAGACCAGCTGTCAGCCAACCTCTGAACTTTAAACCGGGCAGACGGTAGCGTAAACCTAACGTGCAGTTCTCGCTACTATCGACAGGGGCCTTTCTTTACCACCACCGCCACACCGTTGATTTCTTGGTCTGTACCTAAAGCAAAGGATTTAGCTCTTTGGAGCACGTCGGCAGAATGTACTGCGTCTATGTGAAACCCGAATTTTTCACGGTTTTCGTTGGATGTTTTAGGTCAGCCTTGCATCTGAATTTAACCCGTTGCAGGCGATGTCTTTCCGTATATATCCACATACGGGATGTCATTCCTATATCACCCGGGGTGTACGATGTATCCCTAGATGTTGTGGAAAATAAAGTACGGATTTCACGCATACGCAATTCTTTCTGACGACATGCTGGCAAGTGGCAACTATCAGGGTTAACCATCGTGACGAATGATAAAAATTAATTACATACTAAATCTCATAACTTACGGTAGACTGATATTTGTGATATCAAATATTTGTGATTAGTGATAGCAGTGATAGACATATATTTCTGAGGACTCAAATTTAAGCTAACCTTCCTGGATAAACACTCTTTCTACGATCTACGATAGGAAAACACGGGAAGGGTAGAGAGTTTTCAGCTGGCCGAGCTGTGTGTAATTAGCTGACGTGCCCGCCAGAGTGCGCAAACGGAGCGAACAAAAACCTCGTGCAGAGAGACAATTACGGAGCCGGTAGTTCCTCCTGAGTGATTACCATGAGTGGTTCGTTCTCCGCCGTATTATAGAGTCAGCTGCCCTCCTAAAACCCTAGGACTCAAGCCGTAGTGCCTGTGGAAACGTCCACCATTCTTCAATGCTGTCCTCAATACTTCTCAGGGAACCGCCAGGCTCAAGCCATAGAGCTTGGGGAAACGTCCAGCATTCTTCAATGCAAGTGAAGTGACACTGCACTGCGTTAGTGTTTGTGTTATGAGTACACGCACTACTAATACTCAAAGAAATACCACAGAACTCTATTCATGTTGCAACTAAATAAAATTACTTGTTAGAGTCAGCTGCCCTCCTAAAACCTTAGGACTCAAGCCGTAGTGCCTGTGGAAATGTCCACCATTATTCGATGCAAGTGAAGTGACACTACACTATGTTTTACTATGTTTGTATTATGAGTACTACTCGTGAGTACTACTACACACCAAACGCTGTCCTCGGCCACAACACCAGACCTAGAGTGCTACCATCATCTTTCGAGATGGAAGGATGCCTACTACTACTACTACTACTACTCAAACAAACGCCGCTGAGAACTCTGTTCATATTGCCACTTGTTAAGTCAAAAATACAATCTAACTTTATATCAAACAAGCTGTAGTGCCTGTGGAAATGTCCAGCATTCTTCAGTGCAAGTGAAGTGACACTACACTATGTTTTACTATGTTTGTATTATGAGTACTACTCAAACAAACACCACTGAGAACTCTGTTCATATTGCCACCTGTTAGGTCAAAAATACAATCTAACTTTATATTGAAACATTTTGTATTGCTGAATAAAAACTCCGTTGTCCCTATGGCCACGTGCTATATTCTCCTTGAAGCAGAGGTTTAGGCGTCGGATTATTTCTGATGACGTGTTTTATGCGTTTTTATAGGGATTTCTTTTTCTGGTACTGTTAGTGTTACGTTTTTACACAAGTCAAATGGATACTGTCCTGCCAATTTGATACCGTGTTGCCAGTCTGATACTGTCTTGCCAATTTGATACTGTCTTGACAATTTGATACTGTCTTGCCAATTTGATACTGTCTTGCCAATTTGATACTGTCTTGCAACTTTGATACTGTCTTGCCAATTTGATACTGTCTTGCCAATTTGATACTGTCTTGCCAATTTGATACTGTCTTGCCAATTTGATACTGTCTTGCCAATTTGATACTGTCTTGTCAGCTACATACTGTCTTGCAGCCACCAGAGATCTTCCTGGAGCTTACGCGAGCTAGGGACGTATGACTAGTTCCCCAAAATACAGCCTATCCTGCCCAATCGTGCAGCAGTAATTACATCAAGTACACCATGGAAACAAGACTTGTTTTTGTCAACAAACTCCAAGTGACGGAAGTTTCAAGGTGCCCCGTATGTAAAAGAATATGGTTCCATTGTGAGGGGCGAGGGAACACTACACCCCAGCGAAACGGCTATGTAGATTAGATTAGCATAGTCAGGATGGCGGTCACTGGGAAGTCTTATGTGTGAATTATGCCTCCCAGAAGACAGGAAAATTTACAACAGAAAAGCACCAAGAAAGACAAAGAGCGGCACTCTAATAAATACAGCAATGAAGCAACTAGGAAAATAAGACTACTGAAATTAGAACACAAATCATGATTTTTTGTTAGCAATCTGTTATTTTGCCAAACATAACTACAAACATGAAACGACATTTTCATATTTCTTCCTGTCTAGTTTTCTTTCTTATCTTAGTCATTATGTCCATACTAAAATACTCACACCACACACTGTCTAGAGATGATCCAGAGCTCTATTTTTAACACACCTGTCACAGTGCCCCACCCATAATAGTTAACGGTGCGTCCCTTTCACTTGGTGTATTGTTCCTTTGTACTGGTAGTACCTGTTCTCCAGATTAAGTGGCCTCTTGGGACATAATTTAGGAGAGGCCAGCACAAAACCACGCCCAGACGTTTAGGTGGCAGGAAACGATGGACAACTTCGTTACAAAGACACCTGTGTGATAGGAGACACCTCATCAAGGCGAGTTGGTGAACCAAGACAACGTTTTGTCACATTTCCGAGAAAGAAGGACTACCACGATGACGAATGTTTAACCTGTTGTTCTACGTTACTGAATGGTGACATACCCTGCTAAAATAGACCAGGGTGCCCACAACCTACTACAGCCGTCACCTCCGTGTTTCTAGGGAAAGGACCCCAGTTCCTGTTGCGTTCGTGTCATGTTTATTTGGCAGTGAAGATCCCGTATGAAGATATCGTGTTGTGCTGAACGGGACAGGATGGTGTGACGTAAGTTGTCTGCGCGAATCATTCACCCAAGTCAGACAAGTGTGCGCGAGCTTGTCACGGCATTTTGCTTGTCTGCTGACAGAGTACTAGTACGTACCTAACTTCGCCTGGCTGTACACAAGGGATTTTATCAAGAATATACGTCGGATATACCTAGACTGCACCAGGCCTTTCTACGCAGGGTCTTCTACGGGAACACGGATCGTAGAATTCGGCAAAAAGAGAGCAAAATAGGCCAAGGGAGTCCGGCCGTGGGGAGGTAATTTATTTCCCTCCGAAACTGCGCGGCCAGTCAAACCTACAAGGCGGCCAAACTCCCCTGGCAATTATTTTCCTGTATATAGCCAGCATAGTTAGTCTGGTAGAGACTAGGATATACCAGAACTATGGAGGTGTGTGTGATCTTCAAAGCTCTCCTGACCCGTCTTCTGTTCGCTGCGCACGGGATCCTGTGCATCTGGCGGGCCAGTATCGCCGTGGGGACGTCCAACTTCTGGTTCCTGATGCTGGCAGAAGTCGGGCTGTTTATCGAGACTCTCTTCACGCTCATCGCCAGGAAAGGCAAGGAGTGGAAATGGTCAGTATCTGTACATTTTTTGTACTAGTATGAGCCTTGCGATTCGTCTCTTTGCAAAATGGATTGTGGGGCGTAGCGGCAGAGTGCTCGACTCAGAACCTAGAGGTCCCGGGTTCGAGTCCTGACATGCCACCGATCTTGTGCCCTTGCAAATTGGGAAAGACACTTTATTATTATTATTATTATTATTATGACACGACTTTCCTCACTTTTCTCAGGTGAAAATGAGTATTGTATTGTCCCCTGGCCCTGTATTGGTGGCGGCATTAATATAAGTTGAACAAACTTGAGTGTGCCGTCAAAATGGAGAGACAAAACACCTGTTGATTTGATATAACTGTATTGGTTAGTAAAAGAAGGCTACCTGTTCCCAGTTTCTCTTCTCTGACTCATTAATAAATTGATTTATCGCAAATTCATGCCCGAGGGCTAATTGCAGGAACAGAAGAAACATTGGTGTAAAAACAGGCAATTAGTACACATAGAACTACTGATAACTACTAAGAAACTACTAGTAAAAACTACTGGGTTTGACTTCTTTTTTTGAAAACAGAGGATCGAAGACAAAGGATCCCACTTTTTCTATAATTTGTGGGTTTTCGGATGTTAAGAGGAGAGTGGTTTTCTTTTCATTTGTATATGTGTGAAAGTTTGGGTAGAATTTGGAGGCTACGTCAAAGAGTTCATTTCGTTCATTGCTATAGAGGGTACAACTTGATATAAAATGCGTTTCGTCTTCCACCGTATTCAACGTACAATGTTTACAAATTCGTTCATACACTTTGATATAGTGACAGAATCTTCGATATGACGAGGGCGATCACCTCACGGAAAAAAGGATAACTGACCCCACGTCAGTTTCTCTTCTTTGACTCGTTATTCTCTAAAGTGTCTACATGGCACTTGTGACCGCTCTGTAGTCAGAGAAGTATACTTATCCACATGGCATAAAATGGCATCAGTATCTACCGCCGATTGACTCGATACGTTTGGTACGTTCTTTTACACCACGGTAATTTTTGCACACATTGCACACATTGATCAAACATCCTCAGTTTTGCCTACAGTAAGATGATAAAAATATGACAGGAAAAATGGCCTACAAGTCTATGGGAAAATTTCTGCAGCCCTTTTGTACACTAACAATATTACAACTATGGAATTTGTTATAACAAGATCAAGTGTAGAAGCTTTTAAAACCAATACTGTTTGATTTAATTTTCTAAAAAGGATCACCAAGAATATGCCGCTAGATTTACGTTGCCGTATTTCTAATCAGGTAGGTTTATGGTTATAGTGTACGTGGAACGCATTTATAAACACCAAGGGGATAGCGTAAGTATAAAATGGATACATATTCTGTGTTTTAGGTCAATTATGACATGCCCTTTGCTACCAGAGCTTGCTAAAACTAAGTTACCAAAGTTGAAAGGGGTCGTAACGTAAATTGTTAACAAGAAGAAGCTTTCATCTTATAAGCTCTTAGCGTGCTTTATCTGTTTTTGGTCTCCCTACATGTACAGCAAAATGTTCAGTCTCAGAAGCTGAGTTTCTAAAAATCAACTCATGTGTAAAACATCGGCTTTGCACGTATTGACATTGTTTTGTAATACAACACCGCCCAACAAAACAACACTTGTACAGTACAACAGTGTGTAAATCATGTTAAGAAAAATTGTACTTCGTTAGCGCCAGAAAAAAAGGGCCATGTTGTAGCACATGCCAATGAAATGACCAGGGAGTGTTTTATTCACGTGTTGTGAGGTAGCCGGTTCTTCGCTTATCGTAAAGAATAATATAGTGATTACAATGTAGTACTATTAACAAGGATTCAGATAAATTGGTGGTACTCGAACATTTTTTACAGGAAAAGGTGCGCACATATTATGAAGGACATGTTCACCATTTAACATATTTTGTGTATGCATTGTCCTTGACATTCATAACACAATGGATATTTTCTTCTCTAAAGCTTTTGACTATAGAAAATAGTTAAGTTACTTAAAGCTGCATTGCTGTCATTAGTGACGTCAGTAATTGACATTTAAAGAAGTTTTAATCAACTGAGTTCTATTTTTATCAAGGTCATCTTGATTTTACCTAATTATGCGTGCACAGAAAATGTTGACGTGATAGATTTAAGGAGCGCAGGCAAAAGCAACTGATACATTTGATGTAAAGTTCTGAAAAACTGTCAAGAAATGCTTCACGAAATTATTTAGATGTGGAATAGATGAGGATTCTTACAAATATGTGACTTTGAGCTGTCGATAGTAGTAAATTATCCCTTGGTGACAGCGAGTTCCACTCTGCGATAGTTCTGGGAAAGAATGAGTTTTTAAACACCTCAGTTCTTGGTTGATAACTCTGGTACAGTGGTACTTGAAGGCATAATCACATAATCATGCATAAAAGATAGAAAAGACAATCAGTGCAACACGTTTTGTTCCCAGGTTCTGTCCCAGCGTGCTTTTCTTCCTGGGCTGCACCGTGCCCTCGATCTGGTTCTTGGAACTGGATCAGCTGGAGCGCCGCCTGGCGGCCAGACCTGAGGTGCAGGACGTGTGCAAAAACGCGACCCAAAACGTCACAGTGACGAGCGACAGTCCAGATGCTCTACACCTGCATTCCATCGGAATCAACGTAAGATTTTTTTTTTACTTCAGCCTATGAGAATGAGATATTGTTACTGCCTGTTTGCTTCATACACACACTCTGTGTGTGTGTGTGTGTCTGTGTGTCCCTGTGTGTGCGCGCGCTAGCGTGTGTTTCCGCGATATACACATTGCAGCATTCAAATTGCTATGCAGATGTGGTCTGGAGGATATGAAACATGGAGTATTGAATACTGAACCGCTACATTCTAATGCTAAATGCAAAAATATATTATATATTGTTGTATATATTACAACATATTGTTGTAATATATACAACAATATAATGCTTCCAACAAAAGACGCAATAGCTACACTCTGTGTCTGTTTCAAAACACTACAAAATTGAATGAGCTGAAATACTAAACGTTGTTGTATTTTTTTCCTGTCCTTCCAGGCGGCGCTCACGATCGAGAACTGGGTCCTGGCCCTGGAACAGATCCTCGTGTTCCTCCTCATCATCGGCCGCTGGCTGCTGCCCAGAGGCGACCTGACACGCGACGAGCTTTCTCAGCTCCTATTGGTCTACATAGGCATGGCCGCCGACATCGTGGAGCTGTTCGAAGTGTTCGAAGAGGAGAACGTCATGTTCAACCCCCGGGTGGTCTACTCGGTTCTCGCGCTGTTCTCGTGGAGTCTGCTACAGTTCACGATCGTCTTCACAGCCGTCAAGGCGAGGAAATCTCGTCCGGGTGCGATAAACATTGTCGAGACAGTTAACGTTGATCATACCATCTCACGGGATGGGGAACCATACAACGGGCAAACCCGGCCGCCGATGTGGCACAACGTTCACCACAGGGACTCGGTGTGCCAGCACTGTGGCGCCGCCAGGCGACCGGGCGAGGAAGTGCAGAAGAAGAAGCGGACAGTGTGCGGGTGCTGCCACCCGGACATCTTCGCGATTTCCACCACCATCCTGATGCAGGACGGTCCGTTCCTGGCGTTCCGGCTGTACCTCATCTTCTACGAGCACATCATCACGCAGGGTCTGCTCTTCTTCGTCGGGAAGAACGCGCTGGTGATCGTGCTGCAACTCTACCGAGTCATCGTCATCTGCACCGAGGAGGAAAAAGACGACAGCCACGGAGATGTTAAGGAGCTAACTGACTTTGTAACTATCATCAAAGACGACAACAGGAACACCGCCGTTGCAGCGTACGAAAACGGTGGAATGGATCCGGAGATCCACGAGACAACAGTTCCTGGCGAAAATGGCCAGTAATAAACTATACAAGTTAATGTCTCTCACAAGACTAGGTAGAACAAGACTCATTCCTTATGAAGCAAGTTTAAACTGCAATTTCCAACACAAGAAATTGGACTCATCCAAATTTTCGACTGCACAACTCCAGTCTTTGTCAAGGAATGAGCAATCTACCGCTTCCGTGACGTCACGCAGATAACACACGTGACTCCATGAGCAGTGGATTATAGGTTGCAAAGAGTCTGTGGTGCCCCCCGTCTCGGCATGATGGCCTTGAAGTAGGGATCCGAAACCTCTGTGTATTGACTGCTGGTGTGCTTAATATTCGTTTCAAATGCCCAAATATCTGTACATACATAGTAAATGCGTAACGTAACTGTTCTACAAGCGTATGCAAATGTGTACATAGTAGTCCAGGGGCATGTAGGGACCGTTTTGAGAGAAAACAATAATGGCGCCAGACGGGCACGTGTTCAACACGAAACTTTTTATTTTTATTTCAATTTTTCAAAACCGTACGGGAACCTCCAAACAATAGTCTATCACTTTAAAACGAATCGTATTGATATGATGGTATTATTGTCAATAATTATTAGTCAATTACTTTCAGTTTTTAGTGAGTCTACTTTGAAGAAGAATAGAAATATACACCTCCAACATTTACTTAACCAAAATAGATCCCCTAAACATTCATGGGGCACTTTCAACAAAGCATGTAGCTAAAATTTAACGTTTCCTCTTTTTAATTTCTTTTTATGTGTTATACATGTACATTTTACTCCAGCCAAATGGCTATTCATATACTATCTCGACTATTTGAGCGACTTCAAAACTGTATGAAATAAAAAAAACACAATCATGTACATAGCATTATAGTGTCAGGTCACAGATATTGCAATAGTAAGATTACTGAGGTTTAGGTTTATAGCGTAAATTATGTTGTTACAAATTGTTCATTTTAAGACTGTCGACCTCACTACATCAATTTGTAGATGATTCATCAACTTGTTAATAAAAAAATCCACTTGTGATACCGTGCTTCATGTGCCAAAGGACTCGTGTTATTTCACAAATCACTATAATAATGGTTTTATAGAACAATATAAATATTTTGCACTATTGCATACTATAGCTAGTGTACCTTATTCTCGCTTTTTATTTTGTAGTTTATGTGTGCCCCCCCAAAAAAAAATCTGTGAAAATGCAATAAATTCCTGACTTTATACATTCAAGTCAAGTATTCCATTGTGCACAGTGTCATAGTTAACGTGATCTCATTATGATGTTAACTTCACTGCATTGACCTGATATAATCACGGAGGTCACCTTAGGACCAACAATCCAGATCATCATCAAGGGTAGCCTCTATCAGGCTTCAGGAAGCGGCTGGAAAGAGTTAGAATTGGCCAAATGGACAGATAACATGCCATGGGAATTGGTCTGTGCTAACAGAGCATTTTGCCGCTGACCGACTCCCCTGGCATATCGCTCGGTCTAATTGGCCCATTTCTATTTTTTCCAGCCGCTTCCCGAAGCCTGGTAAGAGACTACATCAAAGGATCAAGTCTACGAAAATTCTACTCAAAAAAGGACAATGTGAGAACAGATTACTTTACACGTTCTCATGCGACATGTTTGACGTGATTTATGCTATTCGCTCTCATTTAATAAGCCAAACACATGCCTGGCATTGTACCTTTACTCCCCTGAAGGCACTGCACATTTCACAGGTGATTAGACATACCAGTTCTTCTGGTGTACCTGTGCCCTATACAACTTTCAAAACAACACACCCACTGTGGGAAAGGGAAAGCATTTCATTTAGTCTTTTGGTGTCGTCGGAGTATAGGACGATCTGTTGTACAAAAAGACATCGACCTGTTTTCATGCTTCTTCGCAGGTAAACACGCTTTTGTTGTGTGTTGACTCGAGGTCACATTTGTCATATCATTCACGGTGTATGAACGTCACTGCAAGTCAGAGAAACCGCCGCAAAATTTAGGAACAGTTGGCACAGTCGTGGACGTGTCCTACTAAACACAGCTGTCTTGAGACGAAAAGTTTGTCGTGGATCCTTGTCGTCAGTCGGTTCTGGCTTAGTCTCGCGAATCATCGCACAACAACATAGCGACAAGGAAGCTACACAGCATGTAGACCACACCTACAGGTAAATGGATCGGCACAGCGACGTCATGTCTATTTTCAGAGTTGTAACGTAGGCAGAAATGAGTATAAATTTGCCCTATCTGTCTGTTAAGTCGCGCTCCTACGTACTTGAAATAGTTGTCAACTGACGAGAGAGGTGATTCCACAACACACCGAGCGCATACTGGGATCAAGACGCGTTGCCCGAAGACATAAACGCCAAGGACACCACCAGAACTATCATGGCAGCTTTCGTGATCTTCAAGGCTCTTCTAACCCGTCTGCTGTTCGGAGCGTTCGGCGTCCTGTGTATCTGGCGGGTGTACATCGTCCGTGATGCCGAAACGTTCTGGCTACTCATGCTGGCCGAAGCCGGACTGTTCATCGAGACGCTCTTCACACTCATCGTTAGGAAAGGCAAGGAGTGGAGATGGTCAGTATCTAGTGTATATAATGGGAGGGGTGGTTAAAACGTCTAACCCGGAAACGTGATATTATCTCTAATGCTTAGGTCACATTTCCAAAACGGGGCCCGGCCGGGCTGTTTGTATGAACGAAAAACTAACAATTCATATCAAGAATACACAGAAATAGTGCCTATGATTATTCTGAAACTTTTCTGTGTTTTTTTTCTTTGTCTTTTATATCGTACTTTTCGTTCCCAAAAGCTGCTCGGTCGGGCCCCGGTTTGGAATTGTGACCTCAGACATATGCAGACCTTTCGATTGATGCAAGACAGTTGGGAAGACAGTATCAAATTCGCAAGACTGTACTATCACAATTGGAAGACAGTATACATTATAGGGCTAGCGTAGAAAAAGATTACAAAAAAGAAAGTCCGATAAAAACGCATTGAAACACGTCAAGTCGAAGCCCAACCCTCTGCTTGGAGTCAGTAAAAAGACGGGATGTGACTCAAATTTCGAGGAATAACATCCCGGATTTAACTCAAATTTTGGGGAATGACATATTCCTAATGTAACTCAAATTTCAGGGAATAACTATCGCAAAGATGAAGTCATTGTGATCATGTCTTTATACTGTTGAAGCCCATTTAAATCAATTTTGAACACACTTAGCGAATGGCTGTTTTGGTTTTTACACCCTCTTAAATAACACATTTTACTACGATGTTCTGTTGTCTGTTGAATGAAATTTTACATCTTGCCTCATATTTCAACTATAAGATTAATTACAATGATGAGGCAAGTATAGGTATTTTTACACAAAAGCTGCTTAAGATGCAGAAAAAATGGTGGGTTCTATTTCCCTATACACCCACTTGGTTAAAAGTGAGACAAACAAGTGGGACAAACTTGAGCCTCTGTTGTGACAACACTGAGCAATAGCACAAAATATAGCCTCTACCAGGCTCCGCGGATCGCTGGAAAAATAGTAGAAATTGGCCGAAATAAAGGGATAGTATACCAGAGAAGATTCAGTGCCATATTGGAGCTTCTATGGCCCTGGATGGCTTCTATGGCCCCTATTGGAGCTTCTATGGCCCAGGATCTTCTCTGCTATACTACCCCTTTATTTTCGGCCAATTTCTACTATTTTTCCAGCGATCGGCGGAGCCTGGTAGAGGCTACACAAAATACACAGTCCGTCAAAATTGGCCAAACACGACTGCAGAACAAAGTACTTACAAATTTGAAGCCTCTGTTGTGACAACACTGAGCAATAGCACAAAAATAGACAGTCCGTCAAAATTGGCCAAACACGACTTCAGAACAAAGTACTTTCCCCAGAGGTCGACACCTGATCCAGCATCATTGTTCATGACACTGGTGGCATGTCAGTGTTTGTTGACAGTGGGGTGGGCTGACAATGTCTTCCAAAGGTTTTTTAGTTGTTACTGTCTGTTAGCCACGGTTAATGTAGCCTCCTTTGTAGTGTTGGGTTGGGTGAAAGAAAAATTCCAGTGCAAAAAAGAAAACCTGATAAATAACATTAATAACACACCAAAAATAACCCAAATCCCAAACCTCGGCTTGGAGAGTACTTTTAGTACATTTGTAGGCGTTCTGAGTGAGCGTTTTTTGGGGAGGGAGGGGGGCAAGTTTTCTGATCGCACACGCTTAGAATTCTAGCCGCCTTCTCTTGTAAGCCTTTCCTGTGCGATCAGAAAACTTGTCACCTCCCCACCAAAAACTTTAACGCCGACCCAGAACGCATGCAAATGAGGTAAAGCCAGGTCACCAAACCTATATTAGCTCCCGAGTCTTTTCCCAAGAGCTTAAATAGGTAACCAGGTTAACTGTCCGTTATGCGTCCCCTTCTACCAATAACCCATCTCTGCAAGGTCCCTCTAGACTTCAACTCATTGCTTAGACAGCCGTTTGGTACCGGTGTCTCAGCTCACCTCACCTATCCCTTAACCTCGTTAAGGGTCTTTGGGGCACCATCATAGTGACTTGGTCCACTGTCCTCCTCCATTTGACACTGTCCTCCGCCACTCTCGTGGTTTCAGCTAAACTCAATCCAGTACCACTCTGGAAACCCTTAACCTGAACCCGCACATTTCTTCTCCTTACTCTACGTGGCCACTATTAGCCTGGGTACCATCCGGATTTTCGCTACGCAACGATTTTTTTCGAGCGTTGCGTAGCGAAAATCCGGATGGTACCCAGGCTAGGCCACTATCGCCATGTCGATCATTCTGTCAGAGGGGGTACCGGTCATCGGCCAAGAATTCAGAAGAATTTGGAAGCCCTTGCCACAAATGTTTCAATATTTTGTAGCTTCCCCTGTTGTTTGCGGTAAGGAATTCTAAAAATGTTTAGCAAACTGGTGGACGTCCCAGTTACTAAGTACCTAATACCAGCCCAGAGGAGAACAAGAAATAGCCATGCCTTCAAGTACCAGAGTTATCAACCAAGGATTGAGGTGTTCAGAAACTAACTCATTCTTTCATAGAACTATAGCAGAGTGGAACTCGCTGTCACCAAGTGCAGTAGGCCTATAGTGGCATTGCCATTAGATAGCTTTAAACGATGCCTAGAGTTAGATTTTCAAGGGTTAGGTGTAACAAGTCGATCGATGTAATGTAGCCAGCTGCCGCCGCGCCGCGTGCCTGCGAAGCTGGTGTGTTACGCCGAAAGGCGGTTATACCGGCTCTACAGATACAGATGTTTCCTTTTGCGCCCACCAGGTTCTCCCCGTGTGTGTTCTTCTACCTGTGCTGCACCGTTCCGTCTATCTGGTTCCTCGAGCTGGATCAGTTCGAGCGCCGCCTAGCGGAGAGGGAAGGAATGCGGGAGGCCTGCAGAAACTTCACTGCCAATGTCACTGACACTGACGATGACAGTTCAGGAGAAATGGACGACGTTTTGGATCTTGGCTCCTTTGGAATTAGCGTAAGATATTTGATACTGAAACCACATATGACACATTTTCTTTATAACATTTTTGGTCATAGAAGAGAAGAGATCCTGCAGATATAGCTGTAGCACAACAATGTAACACTTGTTTCTCCTATCCTCAGTTATCTAACTTAGTGCCTTCTATCCTTGTACCTTGGTTATCTAACTAAGTGCATTTGTCCCATGTAGGATATGCTATAAAGTTCATTATAATGTTTACCGAAGGAAAACATATTGTTTTTGCTCAGTTTCTTCCTCTTCTTCTTCTCCAAACAGTGAACTCTGACCTGACCAATGACATGATTTGTTGACGCCTGTCACCATGGTGACTGGTGTTGGGTTACATAATGTTGCAATTTCACAGTCTGCTCTGCTCCTGTCACCATATACTAGTACCATATACATGTATGTGAATGTGTTTGAGTAAGAATTAACAGAGCAGTCCGACGGTAAACATTATGCATTTGCTTTGCTTTGCTTACTGGTAGTTGTCAGGATCTAGCATGTTACTCTTTGGTTCTCCAGGCTAAGATCACGATCGACAACTGGGTCGGTGGTCTGGAGCAGATTCTGGTCATGCTCCTGGTCATCGGACGCTGGCTACTGCCCAGAGGCGATCTGACACGTGACGAGCTTTCTCAGCTGCTATTGGTCTACATCGCCATGGCTGCCGACATCGTGGAGCTGTTCCAAGTCTTCGAAGAAGACAGAGTTGGGAACAAAAAGGATATCGTCTTCACCGCGCTCTTTCTCTTCACCTGGAGCCTGCTGCAGTTCACCATCGTCCTCACGGCAGTCAGGGGGCGGACGTCCCGCCCGGGTGCGATACACAACATCGACGGCACGCCGAGGAGCGGGCCAGCAGCCGACACAGGCCAAGAGCAGCAGCCGCCGGGAGCCGGCAACGGCAGCAGAGCCGGCAAGCGCCGTGGCACCCTCCACCAGCTCGTCTCGGAAGTGCAGGAAAGGAACCTGCACGTCTGCGGCTGCTGCCACCCCGACGTCTTCGCGATGGTCATCACCATCGTCATGCAAGACGGGCCGTTCCTGGCCTTCCGTCTGTACCTGATCTTCCGCGAGCGCGTGCTCACCCAGGGCATTCTCTTCTTCGTCGGGAAGAACTCTCTGCTCATCGTGCTGCAGCTATACCGCATCGTCATCATCTGTTCCGGCCAAGAGGAGGAGGAGAAGAACAAGCCCGTAGCGGGGATGGACTTACAGCCAGAGGAAATCATCATGAAGGGCGAAATGACGCAAGAAGACGCCGCAGCTGCGGAGCTCTGGGGTGGAGAGGAAGAGGAGGAGGAGAAAAATAGCCCCGTAACAGGGATGGACTTACAGCCAGAGGAAATCATCATGAAGGACGAAATGACGCCAGAAGACACCACAACCCCGGAACTCAAGGATGTCCAAGTACAGCCATAGTAGAGATCGAGAGCACGTTGGCAAAACGTGTTCGTACTTCGTCTGAGTATGTAAAACCCGGATTTTTCACGGTTTTCATTGGATTTTTGGTTAAATTTGAATCAGTAACTTTGCCAAGTGCAGACGATATATATTTTTTCAGCACAGCATTTAGATACTACATATTAGAGGATGGCATCCTAAAATACCCAAAAACCACATTAAACGAGACGTTCTCCCAAATTGTGCAATGCACAATACCTCAATATGTATCTAATAAGCAATGAAAAAATTAATATTCGTATTTGTAATCAACCATTTATTAATATATATATATATATATATTGATATTTTCCCAAGTAAAGTATAGTGCAAATCAATAAATGCTTCGCCCTCAGAACGATTCTGGAACAGGCTTTGGTGACCATGTGTAAACTACAAAGGAACATGCTGAATCAGATATGAATTATCATCAGGATATTGTCAGGCATATCACACATAGTTTAGCGTTAGTAATATCTGGTGGTGTAGTTGGAAAATGTTAAATGTAAAGTACATCTTTATATTGCCCCTTCTACGACTACGAAAGAAATGAGCTATTTAGAGAAGCCAACAAATTATATCCCAATTTCTTCATGCTTACAGACAAAAAGAAAACTACTTTTCTCTTAACATCACAAAACCCACACATCACCGAAAAAGTGGGATTCTTCGTCTTCCACTGTCTCAAAAAAAGAAGCTGAACCCAATAAGTTAGAACTAGAGTTAAACATTAGATTCCAATATTTAGGCTAGAGTAGTTACATGCTGTATTGTTACACATTGTCTGTTCTTTGTATGTCCACTTACATGTACTTGCAATTAGCCCACGGGCAAGAACTTGCAATAAACTTATCTATATTATGCATGACCGGTTTAATTATCCAGAACTGTTGTTGTTGTGTTACTCGTACCTTACATTTTCTTTCCTTGAACCTAGCTTGAAAATTCTGACCATGTACACACTGTGTTCTTCACGTCTCTTGGATGGCTGTTATAGATAGCCAAGTTTGAGTGTATCTATTAAGGCATTTCACACCAGATTATCAAATCATGTACACGGAGGTTAGAGTTAGCAACCGCCTGCTCAACAGAATTTGTTACGTTTCATGCTATAGATAAATTTAAATTCATCCTAGAAGGCAATAACCCTTACTGTGTACAAATAGGTAAATATATCAAAGAATGTTTAAACATTAGAACAAGTAGTATTAGTTGACCCATCTATTGTTCTGTACGTAGGATATTTTCGTTGTACCCATGCATATTTGTCTGTATATCTACATGTCTTAGACCTTACGAAAGTCGCTGTACTTTTTGTTGTGTCAATAAAGTTCTCTATTACCTTTTCACCTTATGGAGATATAAATTTAGACTATTACACATACTGTGTCACCTGACAGTGTGATAATTGTGTTACAAAACGCACATACCTACACTGAGTCTTTCGGCTTCTTTTTTGGGGGGGGGGGGCTTCTCGTACATACGAAAGGCCACGCTGACTGAATTTTATGGATGACATCCTCTGAACCCCCAAACTAGTGGCGGCGAATTAAAAAACTAAATAAAAAATGCTGCTAAAGCACAGGAATACAAAGCTGGTGACTTTGCGGTAGTACGACAAGCCGGCACATGCCGGCCTTTTGCGGCGTTCATAAGTCGATAATGTACTGAGTTCTTGATCATGAATTTCGTGGAGCTTCAGTAGCCTCCTAGGCTCTGGCCTGGATGCCATCCTCCTTATTATTACTCCATGGAAACTGGCGACAATAAGGATCCAGCGGTAACTACGGAGGATGGCACCCAGGCCAGAGCCGGGAGGTGATTTTTTAGAACAAGCGAAAATCAATGCACGCGCGGATGTCATCCATAAAATTGAATCAGTGTGGCCTTAATTTGTAAATGTGTAATCATGTGCTACTTCGCCTCCAGCTGAATGCCCTGTGTCACCACGCCACCTGGCGGACCTTCGGTGAATTGCTGACAAGGCTGGTTGGGGTCGGCGCTGTCCACTATTTCAATCTCACAAACCTCGTTCACCAGGACGAGGCAGTCATGCTCCACTTCGTAAACTCCATGTCTGGAAATAAGACAAGATTCCTTAGGACACAATCTTCCGTGAAGTATTATAGTTTTTGTGGTATGGGTTTATAGCCTGGTTACCAAACCTATTACAGCTCCCGAGTCCTACAGCCTATTTGCGGAGAGGATGTAGGACTCGGGAGCTACTAGTATAATAGGTTTGTCAACCAGATGATGTCAGCACTCACGTGTAACACTCCAGGCCGCGGTCTGTACAGGTGCAGTGCATGCAGCAGGCGGTGGTCCAGGTACTGCCGGGGAGGACCTTGTGCCCGTCCCACTCGCAGTACCGCCGTACCACGGTTCTCTGGTGTTCCCCCGTCCCGTACCTACAAG